AATGTGTGATTTGCGTCATTGAACTGATTCTGTGTTTTGAATCATCTTTAAACTGATATAAATAAGTTTCAAATTTACGAATCACTATTTTTCTTCTTCTTCATTTTTATGGGAACAAGGTACTAATGCCGAATTCTGACTTCAAAATCGGTTGCTCTTTAGTAGAATTTTATGATTCGGTCATTTTTAACAATGATTCGCGTCTCGAACTGATTCAGTGTTTTCCCTCATAATTTCGAAACTTCTATTGTTGATTCAATGATTCGAATTGTTATATTTTTATGATTACAGATTCGAATTTTAATTTCTACTGTTTTAAATTCTAATATGTACTTTTCATTTAAAATAAGTGCGACGCAATATGAATTCTATAGTTGCCTTGTTTTTCCCCCCTCAAATATTCGAAATAAACTCCTGTATTTTATAAATCTTTATAAAAAAACATTTTTCTTTTATATTATATTTTTTATCTGCGTATAAATTTTTGTTCATCTATTCAGATTTTTCATACAACGAAATCAATTAATTCCACTTATTATAAAAAATATATAACTGTTCTTTTATTTTTTTTAAAAAACTTACTGATAAATAAAATGTATTTAATCATCAAACATTTTTCTGTTATACTTACGCTATAAATATTTACTGTATGCGATTACCCATGAAACAGTTAATTCGTATCAGATAAAATGAACAATTTAATTGAATCAACTGATTTAAATCAACTGATCTAAGTCACAGATTCAAATCACTTAAGATAACTGATTTGTGCAGTTCAAACCACATTGATGACCTTATCTAACTCTATACTGTAGTAGATAGCAGTATTATTGCTATCAAGATATTATGCATTGATATCAAGATATTATGCATTGCTATCAAGATATTATGTTCTTGATGGATTTAGATCTCATCCTTATGCTTTGGGACTGCACAATATCATTGCCCAGAGTGATTACAAAGCCTAGATCTAGAACTAAAAGAATTAAATACAGCAATTAAAATATCAACAGGAACTTAACGCTAAAAATAGATAAATGTCACAGTATTCTTTAACTATTTTGTGTTCAGAATGTATTAACAGATCAATAAAGCAAATATTTACTTTTTGTGTGGGAATCACAGGAAATTATTAAAATAATTATCAACGGTAGACCAAAGTTCTACTATTATTAATACTATTATTTTACCTCGAACGTAGACTGGTTTTAAAAGATTACATTGACTTTAAAAAAATTATTGTTAAGTAATTTTTTGCAAAACAATTTTTTAATTTTCTTGAAAGTTCTCTTCTTTAAATTAAGATTATTGTTGAATTTGTAGGACCTTAATATACTATATAGTTATATCGAATTTCATTCTGGTTTGTAGAAGATTCACATTATAATTCTCATTTTTATTGCCAAGATTTTGAGCTTAACTTACGTTTCCTTTTATAATTAATGTTGCATGCTTCCTTCTATAATTAGCATAATAATAATTCTAATTCTCGCGAAACTCGTAATTTATTTTTCTTCCCCAATAAATTTGACTAATACATGTTAATTCTATTCCCATAAGAAAGATCTGAATTTTTTTTTTAAATACTTTATAATTTATATTTTTACACATTAAATTTGCCATCGTAAGTGTTCATTGTTTTTCTCAAAATGATTTATGATCTAAACTAAATTGGAATTCTCCATTCAATTTCTTTCCGGATCTACTATCTTAAAATAATTATTCGGTTTGAACTATTTTTGTTCTCTGATGAACTGTCCTCTGATGCTGAAAAATAATTCTTTAGCCATATTAGTAAATCTTATGCTTGACTCCATTTGTTAATCTAAAAACCAAAATGTAAATATTTCAGTTTATTTTTGGAAACGTTATCTTTTTATTCCGGTTAAAATACTTTCATTAACTTTCTCTTTACCATTTAAATTGATGTAAATTAACCCAATTATTTCTCTTTAGAGAAAAGTATTCGGTCGAAAATATTTGCGTTTTTTAATAAATTAAATTCCGTCTCCACTTAATTTGATCCAGTTTAGAATTTCAAACCTTTTAAATGGAATATATTCTTCTTCGAGAAATAATTAATGTATTTGAAATACCTTAATTTGTTTTCAATTTCTATTTGATTTAATTTGAATTAATTGGATACATTATTTTATTAATGCTGTAGAATTCTTTGGGAAGTTAGCAAAATACCAGGAATAGTTTTATTGTATTTTTAAGGTTCTTTCCGCTTGTTTTAAAAAATATTTTCGGAACTAAAATTGGCTTTTAATGCCTTATTTGTTTTTGAAATAAACGTTCATTGTTTTAATTTTATTATTGATTTTTAATTTAATTAATTGAGTTATTAGGTGCATACATTTTAGGTGTAAATTTGAAAAGAAATATTTCTAGCAATTTATGTTAAAATTCTATAATCTATTCTTTTGAAATTATAATTTCGTGTCGACTGTCTTCTAATTTTCTTACTCTTGAATATCTAAAAAATGTATACAAATCTCATGTTTTTACAAAATTTGAAATCCTTTAAGAAAAATAATTTTCTACTGAAATAATACATTTTATTGTTTATGCTTGCGTTAATTCTTTAGCAACGTAATATTTTGGTTTGCGATCAACGTTAAAATTCTTTATTTTTTATTAAGACATAGGTGCTATCTCTCTCTATTACAATTTTTTTTCCCAAAGAGAACTTCTTCGATACACTTAGAGAAGAATACTTTTAATTCCTGAGAAAAGCATGCTCTCTGTTTAGAAAAGAAAAAAAAAAAAAAAATAAATTTTCCTTCATTAAATTAATTATTTTTAGAGAGAAAAATTTTTGACATTAGAATCATAATTGCATAAATTATTCATCATTTGCATAAATGTTACTAATGTTAAATAATTGAAGTGTGCTCTGAAAAAATCCCTTATACAGTATTTTACTGTTGCTCCGTTTGTTAACATCAAGATCTTCCTATTTTTATTTTTAAACGTTGTCAGCTATGTAATATCTAAAGTAAATTACTTAAATGCATTTTAAGTAAGAGAAATTAAACAAAAGCGAAAAACTAAGCATTTCCGACACTCTGTGGTATTGATTACTTTTTTTATTTGTTTTTTTTACGCTTAAGGTTATCTGGGGGGAAAAAAATTTCAATTAAAAAAAAGAATTCTTTGTAACACTTTTTCAATTTACTAAGGGTAATATGGAGGAATCTTTTGTTGTAGATAATAAATTATGCCTCAGGAATAATTTTATGTTGTATGTTGGAATAATAAATTTGTAAACATTATATGCCCACAGGGGTCTGTTTAGAAGAAATTTGGATCCGTTAACGGACCCTTCACAAAATATTTTTTCATAAAAACGGACCCTTCACAAAATATTTTAACTTAAAAACGGACCCTTGTATGTTGGAATAATAAATTTGTAAACATTATATGCCCACAGGGGTCTGTTTAGAAGAAATTTGGATCCGTTAACGGACCCTTCACAAAATATTTTTTCATAAAAACGGACCCTTCACAAAATATTTTAACTTAAAAACGGACCCTTGACAAAATATTTTAACTTAAAAACGGACCCTTCACAAAATGATTTTTCTTTTAATCGGACCCTTCACAAATTTGTTTATCTTCATTATTATTTTGTTAATCGAATAAACCCTTTCCAGGGCAGAAAACAAGAAAGATGGATGTAAACGAATTAAGTTTTGTCTTCGGCAGACGATTCTTCCATTATTCGTCCGAAATTAATATTCTGCGTTCAGCAGTATAGGCTAAATACCAAATATTTGTATGTTGCATCTCTAATTTAGAAGCAGCAATTGTTGTTTATTTTTTAAAATTTAATTTTTTTAATTATAATTTTACAGTGTTGAGCATAATCTTGTATGTCTTTACAATTTAAAAACTCCTTGAAAAAGTTTTTTTTTGCAATAACGGACCCTATTTGCACAAATTCATAAAAGCGGACCCTGGTTGAAAGAATGTGAGTAATTTTTTCACAATTTCACGAAAAACGGACCTTTCACAAAATGTCTGGACAGACTCCTGGCCCATTATTTGTAGCTTTGTTAACTTTTGTAGTAACAAAATTCACCCTAAATTTTGGGATCTAAATATGTTAGCATTTAGTGTCATAGGGATTGCCACTTATGTTGCTGAAGGTATATTATACGCATTATCAGGTCTTGTATCATTATCAGGTCATGCTCACTGCCATATCCAACTTTTTAAGTAACTTACAGGTGACTTTTTGATAATTGAAAATTTGCATCCCTCTGTCTCCGGTAAAGTAAAACATGTTAAGAGTTTAATCCTCTTTTCATGCATTCCGTTTTAGACAATAATTTTAGTACATGTTTTGGGGTAGCTAAGAAATAGCTACGTTTTCAAATTCTTAAAGAGAGAATGTTTTAAATGAAAAACATCATGATTTCCATTTAGTCAATACAAAAAAATATCTAATGAATCTATAAGATTTAGATGAATATCTAAGATCTAATGAGTTGTTTTCCCTTTTTCATGCAATCCGTATTGGACAATAATTTCAACAATTGGAGGGCCTTCTTTCATTGGATGGATGTATAAGATCTAATGAATTATAAGAAATATAAATAGGCGTTTTAAACTCCCAATAATAAAATAGGGGCACATATAACTCAGTATTGTGTTCTTATTATCTTGTGCAAATTATGAAATTTCTAGTACTTGTCTTGAAACAATACTAAGGCAGAGTTAAATGTGAAACATGTTAAGTGTGAGAAAAAGTGCGGCTTATTATTATTTTGCCCTAAGCCAAATAGAAAAATCAAACCTATAAATCTACATACTGTTTTTGCGTGTATTTCTATTTAATACAGATTCTAGTAATTATTTGTTGTGTAGCTGTTTGTTGTACTGCAGATTTTAAAGATATTAAGTTTTAATGTTAATTTTTATCAGAATGAGTTGTGATTTTATTTCTTTTTATTTGACGAGTTAAATGGTTAAATTTATTATTATTATTGCAGGCCACCGCATGACACAAACGCCCCTTACAAGAGGCAGCCCCATCAACATTTGTCACATGGTGGTGGTCATCACAGTCCACCACTAACGGGCACAAGGGGTTATCCATATCCACAAGATCCAGGTTCTCGGTGCTCATCATCTACCTCTTACGTCACATCCGCGGCAGCTGTTGTGGTGGCATCCTCCCCCCACCTGGTGCATCCAGGTGGGGGTGGGGCCATTTATGCATCTGCCAATCACTTATACAGGGATACCCATTTCCAGGTAGGTGCCATCTTTTGTTTTAAAGGTCATTCTGATATCTTTCTTTTTAATCTATCCCTGTGTATCGACAGGTTATTGGCTGCTTATAACTTTTATTGCATATTTTTCTTATCGGGCGAAGTATTTTTTTTTAATAGAATAAGGTTTATTTATAATTTTAGAGTATGTAGTATTATTGCTTACTCGTTGTAAAATTTTTTTTTCTATCGATTAAGTTTTGTATTCCAAATTGTTTTCTTTTGATATTGTGTTCATATTTTTTTAAAAAATTACTTTCTTATTGTGTATAAGTAGTTTCTACTTTTGGAACGGTAAATTTTTTGTCTTTAAACTACGCATCTGCTGCAGAACTACAGAATATTAATGCATAATTATACAATATTTTTGCGTAGATATATAATCTTATAGTATGTAGTATTACATACTCTTAATTATAATTAATAAATATGCATATAATTTTAGAGTATGTTGTATGTGTTACATACTGTTTTTCATATTAAATTCTTATATATTCTGATGAATAAAGTTTTGTACTTCTGATAGATTATTGAAATTCACAAATACTTTTTAAACTTTTTTTTTCACCGTGTGCCGTTTAAAAAATTGTAATATAATCTTTTGGCAATAGACTTCACATAATATTGCCGAAATATTGGATATTTATTGTTTATAGTTTTTAAAATTAAAAAAAAAAAGTTACAAAACTTGTTTTAATATAAGCTTTCTAATATTGATTGGTATATTGGATCGATGTAAAGAATCACCCAAATTATCTAGTCGAATTTTGACGAACAGGTTAGACGTGTATCAATTCAATGTGGAATGTATGATGCTCTGCCATTTCCTCCGGGATGTTCCCAGACCGTCGCCAGTAGCCCATTGTGCAGCTCTAGTGCGACGTAAATTCACAACAACAACAATGCTCTGCCATTATCTATCGATTAGACTAACTCTTCATTTTTTTAAAAAATTTCTCGCAACGTACCCAAATAATATTTCAGTTTCGAATTAAATTAATTTTTTGTTGAATAATAGAAGATTCGAGGGAAAAAAAATTTAAAATGGCGGGTAAATTAGGAAAGTTTTGATAGGGGCAAAATCAATCCTACTTGGAGAAAAACTCGTTTTATATGAATACATCTGCTTTGTGAGCACTAGATTTTTAAGCGTCTTACTATGTTCTTCAATTTAAATGGTTATAAACTCGTGCAATATTGAATCGAATTTATCTTCAACGATTTTTATCCTGAAATTTGAGTTTATTTTGTTTCTATTCTTTCCTTTTATTAATGACAATGAAGAATTGCAGTAATTTTTCCTTCGATTGAGAAGAATAATCGCATAATTTGATTTTTATTTAAAAATTTCATAATCAATAGTAACTCTTTTCTAAGCATATTGCTGTATTGTTAATGTTTTGAAATAGCGTAGCATAATTCGTTTTCGATCATTCTTAAACGCGCGTGTTTTCATGTTTCTTTTTACTACAGGTGCAAGTTAATTTGAAAAAAAAAAAGAGAAAAAAAAGAATTTCTATCAGAGCACCTGCCCTTTTTACTCACTACTTGCGCAGAGCTGAGCTATTTTTCTTTTGAATTGCTTTTAAAAGTCATTCTTAATATGCAATTAAAAAATAAACGGACTTGAGAGCAAGTAAAGTCAAGGTCATTGATATTCTCAGCAAGCAGCTGCACAATCAGAATATTTATCGTCTTTTAATTTTTCTAACGATAAAAATATAGCGATGTGAACTGAATTCACTGCTTTTGAGAGTTATATTTCCCCCCCCCCCATNAACTCTTAAGCCACCTGTTGCCCCCCCAATGCCCTTTGATAGCTTGATAGAAAATAGCTTATTCTGAATTTTCTTAATGTATTGTTTCTGTTTACCTTTGATTTCATTAGGAAAGAGTCTCGTTTGCGCATGCGCTACAGGATATTACAATCTTAAAACGTGATTTTTGTTTTTGAAACGTATCGAGTTTATTGTTTATTTCCATTAAAACGATATTTTACTATAAAAGTTCCGAAAATAAATTTTGCTTCAAGGCAGTCACTAATAATATAGGATTCGTGAATCTTTTCTTGAAACAGTGGATTATTTTAATCTTGAAAATCAGACGAATTTGTCAAATTCGATGAATGAAATTTTAACTCTTAATCTTCCATTCTACTTATGCTCTTGAAGGTTGTAATGATTCCTTGTTTATATTTTAATGATATTCTTCTATGAAATGCATCTATTATTTGGTGTTATTACTATAATTTTTTTCATACTATTAAAGATTTTGTTTAAGTTATTAGTGTATTAGTTAATCTTTATCCTAGTTCCTACTATTTAATAAATATAACTGGTGATTTGATATAACTTTAGAAAAAACGTAATAGCATTACATGTTTTCAATTGCAGCTAATGTGTTCTTCATATAATAATCGTTTAACATTCATGTTTTAGTTGTTAAAATCTATATTAAATGGGTAGAATGTTTAACTATATTGTTCTACTGTTAAATGATGGCATACTTTTAATAGCTTATTATTATTATTACTGCTTACTACTGCTTTTTTTTACATACATATTGAACAAAAGTATTTTAATGGCAGTATTAAATTTTCAAACATTTTATTTTAACTAATTTTAGGTGTTTTTTATTCTATAAAAAATTGATCTTTCAGATAAAAAAAAATTTTTTTTAGTAAATTCCTACTACAATGTTGTAGAACTTATAGTTTCCGTTTCAGATTAATAATTTCATATCATATTCTAGCAAAAATGTATTGTAATTGTATTTTTGTTTTAACTCACATCATGCACAACTTCTTTTGATTATTTTTTATAGTTAAACTAAAATATTTTAACAAATTACAAAAAAGTAGTAGTAGGTACATATTATCGTATTAAATTACTTATATAACATACTAGATTCAAAATTATGAGCAAAACAAGGTTTTTAAGAATGTTCTTTAAGCTAAACTCTATTGTGTGATTATTTTTCTATTCTGATTTAAATAAAACTTCAGTTTTTTTTTTATAAAAGCTTTAAAGAGTTAAGGAATAATATGCAACTAACCTTTATTTAGTTATGAATGAAATGCGAAGCATATTGAATTAGGAACATAAATTTTAATCCAAAGTTCAAGCTTTAACTTTTATATAAGATCTTTATAAACTTTAAATTATTTCTGTACGTTATTATGTAGTAATACTGTTTTAAGAAGTTTTTTCACGAACTGCATGTTCTGAAAAAGCAAAATATAGTTCAAGACCACTTAGAATTTTTTTCAACAATCCAGAGGTTTTTGTCATTATGAGTTTCATTTCTTAAGACATATTTAATGCAATTTTCCATGTTTTGTGAGAAAAAAGGCAGTCTGAAAAAAACATATTAACCCAGGAAAAGATTTGAACTGAAGATTGTTAAAAGAGTTATTATTTAGTATTGTTATAAATTTGGTACGAATGGTAATAAGAATGTAAACTTTTTTAACAGAAATATTTTAAACAGGTTTCACTGAATATAGATGCCTTTAAAATGATTTGTATTGCACATGTTTCTTATATTTAAATGATATGACATTATTCTAAAGTGACATGTTTATTATAGGTGGATTCTAGGCAGTCTAATGACAGTCATGCAATTGAAAGGTATAATGATCAACATGTTAGGAGAAGACTAAATCTGAGGCCAACACCCGCTCTTGATTATAATTTAGAGAGGGAAAGGTAATTTTTTCATAAACACATACATTTTGAAATTTGCATGGACTATTTGCCCGTTTCTATTCCTCAATTAAGAAATAATTTTTAGGCTTGAATTATTTATTCTTTTATTTATTCTTATTTATTTATTTTTTATTTATTTTTGTTTATTAATTAACATTTGTAATGTAAGAAAATTTAACTCCTTAAGATTTTACGAAATGACTAATTTTATAGTTGATTTTAATGCTGTATAAGTTACTTTTTTATGCCTGCTTGAATATTTAAGCATGAGTGCTACATACTAAGCCCTTGTAGTAAATATAGTGATACGTTTTGCAAATCAGTGTCAGAGTATGATTTAGAAATTTGGTGACTGCAGGCAAAATTTATTTCAAAATATATCATTAAATTGATTTAGTTGTGCATGTTTTTATTTTTTCAAAAAACTTAAGTATTCTTGAGTGCTAAAAAATATTTTTTGTTTTCCTGAATAGTTTGAAGTTTAAGCAAAAATATTGCATGTAGAAAACCTGATTTTGTATGAAATGTAAAAATACAAGTTTTTCTGCATAGCAAACCAGGTATTCACATGTTAGAGAAACATAGTTTAAAGAAAAAACATTGTTAGAAATCTAGCAATTTGTGAAAATACAAGAAGTTGTCTAAAATTCTTGGGCTTCTAAATCTCTCTGACTTTTCATAAATGTTTTTTTTTATACCTTCAGATACCTAGCTAAATGTCCCCATTTAGCTAGGTATCTGAATGTATGGACCTGGTGGGTTTATATTTTTTATTGAGAGCTTATCGGTATTGGACCCTTCTCGTGCCAACTGTAATGGTCGCGGTCTTAAATTGCCACTGTCTCCAGTTCTGTACTTGCAATAAATTAAAAAGTACATGGCATAGCTTGTACAAAAATGGTTACAGTTTTTAGTTTTTGAGTTTGTCGCTTTCAATGATGTTTTGTGTTCTCCCATGCCACTGAAATTTTTTTTGCCAAAACTGATGGCTGTTTTGGCACAAGATATATTGCACCTTGCTTGATACCCAGCTTCTACCAATAAACTTGATCTTGTCCCATTGTAAGAGCTTATTTATGGCAAAGAAGCTTTTTAACATTATTTTTGCTTTTATTTTTCACAATGTAATGTATTCATATTGTTAGATTAAAGATGTTCCAAGCAATTAATATTTCACAATTATATAATTAGGTATCTGGATGCCATGCGATATCAATATGAAAGAGAGGTTGCACTTGGTGTTCCCTATTCTAATTCTGCCATGACTGCCAGAACTCTTAAGCCACCTGTTGTTAGTGTACATACGCCATCTGAAATTGATGCAGCACAGCCAATCAAAAGACCTCGACTTGCAGTTGAACCTAAAGCTCCCGTCCACCAACCTCTTTTAATAGATACAAGAAATGTTGTGATAAAAAAAGTAAGTATAGTTTCGTGTAATTTTTAACTTTTTTTCTGCCATTCTTAATAAATTATTTCAGTTTTTGTTAAGAACGGTATTGCTAAAATGGTTATGTGAATTCAACTATAAATGGAAATGTTTGCCTGTAATTTATTTTCTAAATTTATTGTATTTGATATTCACATATTGTTTTACGCATTTTCTTTTTATGATTTCTCAGCATTTTTATTTATCGTGTTAATTTGAAAATACAGTAGTGCCAATTATTCAGACCAATAAGGAACAGAGCCGATCCGGATAATTGGACGACTTTACAAAAAAAAAGTGGGGGGGGGGACAGCTATGAGAATGTAAGTAACTTCTCAACTCTTATTCAAGGCTTAGGACTGGCAATTATAGTTGTGTCTATAGCCTATTATAAATGGCATATTTGAAAGCTTTTAATTTTATAAAATTTTATTAGAAACTACCTGCCATCTAGATTGAAACCGGGTGGAAAGAGCGTGAGTCGCTTTTCTAGGTTACCACGAGACAAAAGGTACCGCGAGACAAAAGAAGGCATTTTTCGACCTCTTACAGATATTCTGAAAATTAATATTTTTCTAAATTTCTTTCTTTTTTTTTCTTTCTTTTTTTTAAGAAGAAAGTGAGAACATGATCCGGATAATAGGACAATTTGATAAATTGACTTTTGGATAATTGACACTGCTGTAACTAGGTATTCCTTTATTTAAATTAGTAAAAAAAATATCATAATGATGAAAATTTCATTTTAAACATATGTGTTGAAAAGATATTTTTTAAATCCAAATATTATCTGTTGTTCTTTTCTTATAGTTATTAAATTAAATAAATTAATTATTAAATAAATTTATTCAGTTATATGCTAGCGAAACCATTTTTCTATAATAACAACTGATTAGCTGATTATTTATAGATTCATATAAATGAGTGAGTGTGTAGCAACATAAACGGAACTTAGGGGGGAAAAAATTTTACATTTAATATTTTATATTATCAATAAAAGTTAGATGGTTAATGTTGTCTCTAATGGCTGGTGTTTTGTTGAAACAGTTGTTACTCTGGCAAAGAAAATGACACTTTCATAAAATGTCAGCTAATTCTTTTGCCTATTTTAATATTCAACAAGAAAGGCTGAATACCAATTTTTAAATTAGATATTTAGTATATTTAGCATTCATTATAGTTTTCTTTTGAAAGGTTGAAATGTGTGGTAAACATATAAATTATGCGTTGTACATCTTAATTAACCTTTTTTTAAATTATTTTATTTCAGGAGCCTGCCTATACACCTCAAGTTGAAGCTATTTCTCCAACGCTACCATCTGAAGAAGGTCGTTGTGAATCTCCTCCCTCACGTGTAACTAATAAAGATATAATCCTTGGTAAAATCAAAGTACTAGATAAAGAAATTAATCAGGTTGAAAACCAAATCAACAAACTTCAAAAGAAAGCTGTAAGTTAGAATTCCCGCATTTTAAAATTATCTCTCTAATATTTCAAGTTTTGTTGTCGTTAGAATCAATATTGCTTTGAACAATGTTAATTTGCTTTGATTGTGAATTTTTAAAAAATGATCATTATTTTACTGATTTAACTGTATTTGTTTTACTTTACTATTTGTCTTCAAATTTTAAATTTCAATTAGATTAGTGCTGATGCATATATTAAAATACTTTTAATATAGTTATTTCATGCTACATGCTGTAGTTATTTATTTTGCAAGGAATTTTATAAGGGAAAGGGGACACAGAAAAAACTGAATTAACAAAAAATTTTGTCTTAACTGGAAAGTAGAATTTTTTTTGTTTCTCTGGAAGAGATAAAAATGGTTTCGTCACTTAAAAGTGTTATTTGTTCAATTATTTATTTGTACTTTTAACTTTCCCCATCATTTGTAATTATTGATGCAAATATTCAAATAACAAGATTATTTATTGAATTACTTTTATTTATTTTAGACTGAACTAGAAGCTGAAGCAAACAAACCATCTGAATCGAAGGAAGCAGTAAAAGATGTTAGTCCTGTTGAAACTAAACAAATGAGTGTAGCACAAATTATATACTCAGAAAATAGGGTACTATTACAGTCTATTATTCTCTTCTTTTCAAAAATAAGTTTGTACAATTGTGTTTAAAGCTGCTAAGTCTTGTGTTTTAAAATTGTACTCAAAGTGAATTTTCTTTTTCTTTTAGAGTAAAGCACAAGAATCCCACGCAATTTTAGAAAAATTAGGTCCCAAAATTGAAATTGTAAGTATAAGTAATTATGTGTAGTAATAAATAATTTTGTTTGAATTTATAAGTAAGATTATTAGAGATCAGTCTTGGTTGTTTTACCAGGTCCTTTTTTTTTGTAATTCTCGAGAAATTAGTTTTTAATTTTGTGAAAATAATGTGTAACGTTATGAAAACTAATATGAATTTCTCTGAAAATTATTTTTATGTAATTTATGTATGAAAATACTGTAAAATTATATGAGCAATAGTCTTTAAATTTTAAAATTAAATATTAGTCTTATAAGACGTGTTCAGTTAAATAAAGTTTCTTAAATTATCTTAGAATCAAGCTTAAAATATTGCTTGTAAATTATAATTTATAAATAAATGCTGATAAGAAATATTGCTTATAAACTAATATGTGTATTGAATATTGATTGACATTAAATTTTAAAAACTAATTTGTATTTTTAAATTTATTTATTAATAATGTAATTATTCTTAGTCTTAAATTTTTATTTAAAAGCTTTCACCTTTCCAAAATAGTAATCAATGTAAATCTTGATTGGTTGAATGTAGATTTAAAATTATTAGATCAGTTGATAAACAATTTTTTATCTTGTATATTTATTTATGGCATTAAATCTTTTGTCTTATATTGTTTAATTTTGTCTAATATTTATTTTTACAGCCTATGTACAATCAACCCTCTGATACAGCAGTGTATTATTCAAATAAACAAAGGTAATAACTTTAAATTTTTGTTTGCATAAAATGTCAGTTAGAGTATTTTTTTTCTTTTCATAATTTTATTGTTTGTTTTAATTAAAATTCTCTAATTTTTATTTTTTAGGTATCAAATGTTAAAAAGTAGACTTTCAAAATGTTTGAAAAGGCGCCATAGAGAAAGGGAGTTAAGAGTAAGTATTTGTTTTTAAGAGTTTTTGTTTATTTATCCTCCAAAGGTTTTAGGCACCGAGCAAAATTAAATTGAAGTGTCATTGTCACGCTTATTTCATCATTTCTTATTTTTTTTAAATGCAGAGAGTCACACGAGAAAAAAAGCCTGGATTAACGCTCAAAAGATTAATTTAATCTTTACTGTGCGAGGATTTGAAAATTTTACACTTCTTTAAATATGGGTTGTGCACAATTTAAAGTCAAGTTTGTGTAATTTACAACTTATTGTACTAAGATTAGTGCCGGTGACTATTTGTTTCTAATTGTTAAACTTATATATTATATTGTATCTTAAATTGCAAAAATACTTTATTCAAAACTAACAATATTCAATATGGTTGTACTATAACTTAATAATAGAGTGTGCTTACCATTTGCATTGTTACTTCTAAATTAGTTATTCATACTTTCATTTAAGTAATAGTTGCACGTCATACCAGAAATTGTCCTGTATATCTGTTTTTTTTTTCCATTTAAAATTTTTAGCTAGCTTAGAAAGCTATTGTAAATAATAAGTAATTCTTTAATTCAATAATAATATATTTGTTATTGCGTAGATTCTGTTTTTGCTATAGCCAATTAGCTAAGTGTTTTTCTAAGTTGCAATCATTCAAGATGATTAAAATTAATTCAATTAGTTGTACATGATCATTAATAGCTTCAGTCAGAACTGAGACTTGTCTAATTTTAAATGTATACTGAAGATTGTGTTTAATTCTTTCTAATTTGCGGCAGTTTTTTATTGCTCATAGGGTTCACTGGTAAAAATTTTAAGCTACATTCATTGTAGTATTATTTAATGAAAATTGCTTTTTAATTTACATCTGTATGTGTAATCCTGTTTTTCTATTTTTTTTAAAAATAATTTTCTCTTAATCTAGAATCTAGACCCATCTAAAATATTATATTTATTTTAGGAAAAACACCTGACTGAGTCCTATAGTAAATTGATGCAGGATTGGACTAAAAAAATGGAAAAGAAAGAAAGCAACGCTGCAAAAAAGTAAGATTGTTATATATTTATGTCGCATGAAGTAATTATTTCTTGTCTAATCTAAATTGTTGTTTATTTCATCAATATAAACTTGAAATCAATATTGCTAGTCAAGTTATTGTAATGTACAATGTCATCACAAAAGGTCATCATAAAATGCTTTTTATAGCAGCTTATAACATAGGAAATATATGTCCTACATTGAATGTGTGAGTAGTTTTAGAATGTGTGTGAGTAGCTTTTTTAATTGTGGAAGGCAGCGGTGTTTATTGAAAAAGTTATAAATTAATTTTGACATATTTCATTCATTAGAAACATTTTGAAGACATTTTATTTTTATTCATACCATAATTTAGCAACCAACTATGATGACACTCATACCTTATTGACTTTTTCTTGCAGTTTAAAAATTATTTTTACTATTACAGTAAAACCTCTGTTAAAGACCACCTTGAAACAAGACTATTATTTGTATGGATTTCTTTAAATGTAGCTTTCTTTTTATCGTTTTGCACATTCACCTATATTTTCTTAAAAATCATAATATTTTTGGGGTTTACTATGGGTCAGTCATAGTTTTGTAGTGTTTGTTAACAAACTATTTATCAGGAATCGTGACCTCCTCATATTTTGTTGATAGATATTTCAACCATTTTCTAACATAAACTTTTACCTGGTACATTTTTATTGAAACAAATTTTGTTTTCTCTTCTCAGAGCAAAAGATTCCAAACTGAGAGAATTTTTCGAAAAGCAATTTCCAGAACTAAAAAAACAGAGAGAAGACAAAGAGAGAATATCTAGAGTTAGTACTAGAATTAGAAGTGAATCGGAATGGGAAGAAATAATAGATGGTCTACAAGAACAAGAGGTAAATTTGATTTAAAATCTGTAACATGGCACTTTTATGTATTTATTATTTTTTTGTCAAATATTTTCTTCAGATTGATATATTTCCCATGGATTATCGAATTTTTACCTTATAATGGAACAGGAAATTATTTCTTCACATTATTTAAGTAAAATAAGTATAGATGTTTTAATTAAAATAGTGCCAGTTCCTTATTTTTTAAAATGTGCAACTAAACAATCAGTTTTATTGGAGCCTCTTTTGAAAATGAAAATAAATGCCTTAATTCTGCTGTTCTTTTTCACTTGCTAGTTAATTTATTTTGTCTCTTTTTAGATTGTTAAGACTGTTTTACAAATTATATTTTAAAAAAAAATTAGTTTATAAGGAATCTGCTGACAGTTTTAGTAGTTAAGTTATAAAAGTTAATAGTAGCCATTAGTGACCTTAAATTTGGTAATCAGACCATTTATGATTTTGAATGCTGTTATGTAATTTTTATCTACACAAGTTAGATCAAACCAGTAATGCAGTTTTTTATTCTCTTATGGCTTAAAAATTAATGAATAGGAACCGAAAATAATAATAAACTTACTTAATTCTCTTCCGCTTAAAATAAGCTATATATTCAATTTATAAAAGTTTATTTGCTTTTTCCTTTAATACTAATATTTAAATTTTTTTTTGCAACTTTGCTTTAGTAGAAAATATGTTTAAGGATTCATTTTTTCGTGTTTTTATCATGTTTAGAATACAATCTTTTCAACAATGTCTAATTTAAACTTCATAATTTTTTTCTCAATAGATGGAAGAAAAGAAAATGAGAAGCTATGCTGTGATACCCCCAATTATATTAGATAGCCGGCAAAGGAGGTTATGGTATGTAAATAACAATGGATTGGTAGAAGATCTTAGTCAAGAATACAAAGAGAAACAGTTGCTAAATATTTGGACAGACCAAGAGAAAGAAATCTTCAGAGAAAAATATCTTCAACATCCTAAAAACTTTGCCTTCATTGCCTCCTGTTTAGATAGAAAGGTAAATTATAAAATTCATTATTTCACTATTATTTAGAAATTTATTTTTGTACGTTGACCCCTATTGTCACAAAAACAGATATTATTGCACTATGCTATAATTTTTTAAAATGATAATGCAAATATTTGCTTAAAACTTGAATAATATAAATTTTAAAAGTATTTAACTTGAAAGGATGTGTAATAAGCAGTATTTTTGCTTTATTTAATTTTGAATTTGATATTTAAGATTATCTTTGGAAAAGAAATAGGTACAATACTTGATCTAAAATTTAATTTACTGCTTGAAAGGTTAAATATCTTATTTTTGGTTATTTATGTATCCCCTGATATATATTTTTTAACAGTTTTTTTTCCTTTTAATTTATTGCCAATACTGGATGATAAGTAATGCATATTGGCAGTAGACTAGAAAAATTAAGAAAGTCCCCATCTCACATCCTTAATTCAAAGAGAATTGATGTTTCGAGTTCGTTGTGAGGTAACATTGAACAAAATAGTTGTTCAAAAAATTTTGTTGACACTTCATAATTAATAACGTCTTAAAAGAAATTATTTTTTTTGTTTGCTTTCAAAGCAAATAATGTTAAGATGTTATCATTGTTAAAATAATATTGAGCATTATGGATTATTATTTACGGAGCAGCAAATGTGACAATGTCTCTGTCGTTAAAATTATAAGTCCACTATGGTCATGTGCTAAACAACAGGGTAGACTATTTTAACTTATCGCATTAGTGTACACATAAAATGTATAATTAGACCAGTGAGTAATGAGACTAACGCTTAGAGAGTTAATGAATTCTAGTGAAAGATAATTATAAATATATTTTATTAAGATTGCTGACTCACAATATTTTGAATTCTAATTATAATTATAATTCTAATTTAATTCTAATTATATTGTGTAAGTAAAAAATGGCGTAGTTAAATTTTTTTAAAACCTGACTCAGCATCACAACTTATTTATTATTAAATTTCATGACATTTGTTTGAAATATGTATTTTTTTTTCAAATGTTATGAATTGTTTCTAGACTGTTGCTGATTGCGTCCAGTATTACTATCTCTCTAAGAAAAGTGAGAATTATAAACAACTGCTGAAGAGGCACAGTGTTCGAAAAAGAACTAGAGCTTTAGTGAAACCTCCTCAAAATCAACAAGTTTCTCAGGTAAAATATCTTTTACTTTTTTCAAATTTTTTAGGTTTACGTATTATTTCCTTTTGTCTTTGTGGATGCTTTGCTAAACTTTTAGGAAGAAATAGTTATTTTTTAAATTTTTTCTTTTTAATAAAGACAACATTGTATCGACGTACTTTTCAATAGAAATGAATTTTTCGAAAATTTTAATAGAATGGAATAGAATAGAATAGTATTTGTTTCTTAAGTGTAACAGAATATTAAAAAAAATTTTTTTTAATGTCTATTTCTATGTTTTTCTTAATTTGAGATTTTTTCTTTGGAATGCATACTAATTTTAACTGCATAACTAGACAACATTAGAAAAATCATACTAAAATGAAGGAATGAAAAAAGTAATAATAAAAATATGAAAAAAATTAATAAATTAATTATAAAAACTAAATCAGAAGTGGACTTATCATTAAAAGGAGTGGCTAAGAAAATAATCTTTTTCCTAAAAAGATGAAATAAAAAGTGTTTTTAAGGGATGGGATGGAGTCTCATTTTTACAAAAAGGGCAAGGAAGGCGCATTTGCGTGGATCAAAGGACAGGCTGCCTTTTTTAAAAACGCTTAGGCAGAACACTGCAAAGTAAGCAAAAATCCTTAAAAAGTTTTTACTGTAATGACCTTAGAGCTTGCCTGATTTTGCCAGTTTCTGATAAGCTATTAAAATGCTGTTTTTTTCTTTTCTCTTTTAGTAAAATCCTACTTAAGATAGTCTACCTTAGATAATCTACCTTAGACATGTTAACTTTTAGATATAATTTAAGAATAATATTGCCTATAATTCAAGCCTTTAAAAATATATCTGTTAAAACCCCAATCATTGATGTTTTTATTATCACTGATTATAAATATTTTTCCTTTGTCTAGAGCACTGGTGTGACAACTAGGCAACAAGAAGATGCTAAGGCATCTCTAGTATCAAGCTGCAGTACCACACAATCAACCATAGACCCTTCCTATACTCGGATATCTGAGTGCAAGACAGCCACGGTTTCAAGTCCCGCTATCATTTCATGTTCTGTCTCTATCACGAACTGCACAGTTGTTACTACTGTTGGTGGGGAAACGTGTACAACTACTTCAACCTTTGAATCCAAAACTAACAACTCTAGTACTAGCAAATATGATCTTGGGAAAATGCCTCTTCCAAATAATATTAGGTGATTAAAAAATTTTTACAAAAAATTTCTTTCACTTCATACCTTGATTTCCTATGCCAATATGTATAATGTACGATGTTCCTTGCATTGGTTCAATTTATTGTAATAAGTGCTGTTATTTATTAATGAAGTCATATGCAAGCATTATGAAGTGCTAGCTCTTAAAAATTAATTTAAAACCTTATGAGATTAAATTTTTATAATTTTTGAAACCATGCAAATAATGAAATTGAATTGAAAAGTTTCAGAAAATAATCAAGCTTATGTTTGTAAGGAGTTCACCTCAAAAACCAAGATTTGGGATAAGTAATTAAGGGTTATTTTTTTAACTTGTGATTGTTTCCTGAAAATGTCATTGTTACATGACATTGCTTATTATTTAAAACTACTTCAGACCTGTCATTGTGACATACAGATCAAGCCCACGACAAGCATTTTTGCAAAGCCATGATTTCTCATCTAATTTTTTTTAAACTGAAAGCAAAATGTATAAAACATAAAAATTTAATATCGTATTACATTGCAAAAAAAGAAAAAAAGAAAAAGATTCTAGTTTTTTTTTCTTTTCTTTTCATATTTTCCAAGATAGTCAAGCAAAACAGATGTTGTAAAACATAAAAACTGTTAGGCATAAAGAAAATAGCTTTCTTTTGTATTATTCACTTAATTTAAATAACTTGAGTTAACTAGTATTTCGTTTTCTTAATTGTCACTTATTTAAAAATAAAACCTATAACTTTGTAACTAACAGTGCATTTTATATCTATAAAATTTTCAAACTTGATAGTAAATAGTTTTTGTAAATGGATGTTTCTATTATGCCAGCATATTTCTTATATTATAAAATTTCAATTACAGGAAAAAGAAGGAAATTCAAAAGCTCGAAAATAAAGAAGACCATTGTGATAGTGATACTAGTGATCATCCTAGTGAGTAATTAATTAATCATACCATATTCTTGCTTTGAGTTGGATATATTATTGGTTTCGTATGAAAATGTTATCATACCATTCTGCAAATTCTAACTTGTACATTTGAAAAATCAGGAGACATTTAAAATTTCTCATATCTTGAGTCTAAATATCATATTTAAAATGAATAACATTAGGCTGTAACAAGTAAAAATAACTAAGGTGCCAAGTTACAGTGGCCTTTTAAAAAATTACATTTTTAGTATTTTTTTTATAACTTTTCTTTCATTGTGTTTTATGAATGAACCAATAAAATTTTGAATAATATTTTCAGTATGAGATAAAGAACAGGCACTTCATTATTTACAATATGAAAACATTGTTTTGTGTTTTTCAATATGTTAGTAGAAAATTACATTTTCTGCATTAAGTTACAAGGATAATAATACTCCTATTTATAATTTGTTCATCCTTAAACAGCTTCAAATAACTTCATGAGTAACTTTGATGAAGTAAATAAATAAGCAAAACGTAAATCTTTTTTCGCGACCCAAAGTGTTCAACATTATTTGTAACTGTTGCAATGAAAAGATGCTAACTGATTGATGTCTTGTTGTATTTCAGATGAAAATAATCCTTCTCAACCGTGTGCTGTTTGTAAACAAGAACTGGATAATTTCCTCCAATCAAGGCCTTTGACGAGATCCAACTGTAGTTTATTTGGTCTGAAGGAGAGTGATTTAGTTGGGGACATGCGAGTCTGTGCCTCTTGTCGTTTCAAGTCCGTAAGGAAAAGGTATAATGATTGTTTTAAATTATTTTGTTTAAAATGTTTAAATTTTATCAATTATTTCTGATGAGGGATGTTCCCCATAGAGGGGTTTACTTACTTGAGACAAACCAGGAGTCTGTCCAGACATTTTGTGAAAGGTCCTGTTTTTGTAAAATTCTGAAAAAACTATTCATAATTTGTGAATATAAAAGAAGCATTAAGTCACATTCTTCCAACCAGGGTCCTGCTTTTGTGAATTTGTGCAAATAGGGTCTTGTAATTGGAAAAATTGCTAAAAACCTTTCCAAGAAGTTTTTAAATTGTAAATCGATACAAGATTCTGCTCAACAATTGGTGCTACTAAATTAGAGATGCAACATACAAATATTTGCTATTTAGCCTATACTGTTAATCACAGAATATCAGAAGGGTCCGATTAAATGATAAATTATTTTGTGAAGGGTCCGTTTTTATGAAAATATATTTTGTGAAGGGTCCGTTAACGGACCCAAATTTCTTCTACACAGACACCTGCAAACAGTGGTTCTTGAGGTATTCCAGTAATCTTTTATAATTTTATTTGCTTTTTATATCAGCTATTCTTATTATCGAGTTTTCTTGTATAATGCTTCAATGTTTTTGTTATATTAAGTAAAGAATGATATTGAAGTTTGACACAGAATTACTCATCATTCTGTATTTGTTATTAAGGTGTTAAATATTATAATCGTGGATCTGCTTGGAATGTCTCTAATTTTTGAAGAGTTAAGTTGAGATTGCTTTCACACAAAAAATGACGGGAAAAACGAACATATTTCTTTTAAAAGTTTTAATTTAGCTTTTAATTCCATTTTTTTAAAAAAGAATTATTATTTGAAAGTTAAATTAAAAATTAAATTACATTCTTAAGTTTTATGTAAAATTTATAAAAATGTAAAAATGATTAGAAATTCCTATCTATTGTTAGAATTACTATTTTTTGGGGGGGCCTTGAAACATTTACCTAAGTATTGGCAGCCATGATGCTTATTTAATTGTGTCAATAGGTATTAATTATATACCTACTGTACTGACATGATAGATATTGCGGTAATGGATGTTTTATGGTTTCCCAAAACAAAGTAGTACTGTTATATTTTTAAGTAAGTTTGTATTTGCATAATTATTAAATGCTAATCAAAAGTTGCTCTGTACATGTGCAGAATTTATAATTGTAGCATTTGTGGGAAAATATCAACATTAAAATTGAATGTTAAGATTAGTATTGTTATCCATGTACAATGTTACTTAATTATGAAGGTTTTAATTTAATATAATCAGAGATCTGTACTTAAAATGTATTTTGTATTACTACATGCAGTAACTTATATTATAGGTGTCCTATACCTACATGTAAGACTCCTAAAAGGAAAGTCAAAAGATTGCGTCCCTTGCCTGTTAAACTAGCTGAGCTATCAAAAGAAGCAAAAGATGTAATAATTGCTGAGATTCGTAAGTTTTGTTCAATTTTTTTTTGTTAATTATTCAGAGTGGCAATAATCTGTTTAAATATTGAACTGTATTTTTATTTTTTTTAAAAATTAGAAATTCCTCCTGATGTCAACAAGTGTTGTTCTGCATGTTTCAATAGAATTGTGAGAAAGTTGGAAAATAATCCATCTGCAGAAAATGGTAAATAATTTGTGCCGTCTTCTTAGTTTTTTTTCGAAATCAAATGTTTTCAACTATTGCAAACATGATCTTACATTTAAATGAAAAAAGTATTATATTTATCAATTCTTAATTTTTCTTGTATTTATTATAAATTTAAAAAAAAAAATTATTTTATATTCTAGAATCAAATGAAAATTCCCGTTGGAGTGATGAGGAAATGGACCTGATTAAAGAAGGTCTTAAGCAACATGGAATGGATTGGGAAGCAGTTTCTAATCTTGTAAACACAAAAACTAAACAGCAATGTAGAAATTTCTATTTCAATTACAGACGAAAGTATGGACTGGAAGATATTGTTCAAGAGTATAAAAAGGTATTTTGTTTAAATATCCAATTATTTACAACATACATTTTACTGATTTAAATTTTTGTGACTGCTTGGAGGTTATCTTCCCCCATTCTTACCTTAAAAGTGTCACAAGCCCCTTGCTAGACCCTAGCTACAGATGTGACAATTGTTGTCACAGCCCCCGGGAAAAGATTAAAATGCAGAATAGTTTCACTCAAAGTCATCCAGGAAGCAGTTTACAATCAGGATGCTTAGTGTTTTTAAAAAGTGCTTTTTTTATTTATGTTTTTTTAAAAGCTCTTAAAGGTGCTTTTTCTATTCCGGGTTTGTAAAAACTGCTTAATTTTCTATATTTTGGAAAGTGATTTTTTCTTTGCTGTATCGATTGTCGTTCTAAATTACAAAAAACGCATGATTTTTCACAATTTTCTCTGCAATATTTATCAGAAATTAGTTATTTTATTACGATTATGTAAAGTTTTGAATTTTATTGATTTTATGTTTATAAATGAAGAACTTTAAACGATAGAAATTTTTCTTTTTTTATTGCTGCACAGATCCTGATTATGATTTTTTTTGGAAAGTGAATAAATATATTAAGTGCTTGAAAGGTGCTTTTTTTTGTTGAAAAATCTGGCTATGTACTCTGATTATGGTTTAACCTAGAATTTCCTTGTCTTTTGGGTTTTGGGTTGGTTTCCAAAATTACTAGGCAAAAGAGTTTAAGTAATCACAAATCTGATTTAGGTTGTGTGAAGTGCCAATTGTAATTTAAAGAAATTCATTTAGCATAAAAAAAAATTTAGGTTATATGGTATCTTTTTTGCTTACATTGATACATCTTTTATATATTGTAAGATTTTTATTTTTAAAAATATAATTTCTTTATCACTAGTTTTCCAAATATTTTATTTTGTTTGGTCATAAATCAGTAGTAATAAGTAATACTACTTATTACTAAATTAGTTGCGAAACTGATAGTTTGTGAATTATTTTTTAATATTTTCCTGATTTTTGCTTATAGCTAAATGGAGGTAAAGATGGGACACTGCAAGATGGTAAACGTCCTCCTATTGTCACTGATGAAGAAGAAAGTGGAGAAACTACTTCAAGCTGTGATGAAAACGATCATTTTGTTGACAGTGATACAGCCAGTGCTCCTAGTCCTGTTGAGAAAGTTATCATTGAGGGTATGTAAATTGATAATTTTAAAGAAGATATGGAACTTTTGATATTAAGAAGATAAATGTAAAAAAATGTCTGTTTACAAAAACAAATTAATTTCTTGTTTTTAATATAATTTTTTGTGTGTGGTTAAATAAAGCAACCAACCTATTTACAGAAAGGAATTAAAAAACAATAGCTTGTGCATGAATTGCGTTCTTTAAAAGGAAAAAAATCTTACAAATGAAAAAAAAAATCTAATTTGAACTAAAGTTTTATATTTGAGATTAAAGAAAATAATTATCTTTTTATTTGTTGAAGAAAATAAAGAATGTTGGTTGCCACATACTTATAATGAATGTTAAGAAAAATTTAGTATTTTTTTTTTGTAATTATTTCTTTTTTGAAAAATGAGATTTTTGTATTTTATGAATTATTTTATAAAAATTCAGTTTGACATAGATTTAAGTAGTGTAATTGTGTCGTCTCATTAAGAAAAAATTAAATTTGTGACTTAAAATTCTAGAGTCAAATTTTGTAAGTAAAAATTTTCTTAACAGTCTCAGATAAATTACAGCTCAAAATTAACAAAAGTAATGAGCCATTTATATTTATAGAGTTTCTTTTAACTTTTTAGATTTCAATATTAAATACAAGATATAATTATAAAATTTTTCCTTTAGTTTAATGTTTTTATTTTCTACTCTTTCTTTAGATAAGAGTAACAATCGTAGCAATGAGAGACTTATGGAATGCAATCAGACCAGCCTGCTTAGTTCTGAAGAACCTAGAAATCGTGGTGTATCACACATTGATTCTAGTCCGAAATGTCCTCCAGACTATGACAGTAGTGCAACCGTTAGTGCCGATGAGGGTCAGAACCAAGGAGATGGCGATGGACGAGACTCTTCACCACGTGGCAGCCATCCTAGTTCCAAAACGCAGATGGGCAATGAGTCTTTGAGAAAACCATTCCAGTGTCCATTACCGATTCCTAAAGAAGTGGATAACAGATGTGAAGCTTCAGTTCCGATTGTAAAAACTTTACTTCAAGATCCAAAAATAGGAGCTACTCCACCTGAAAATATTGACCAATTGTTAAAAGCTTGCAAGCCCAATAAAGATGAACCGACTTCTGTAAAAGACCTAATATACCAAGCAATTGAAATGAGTCTTAATCAATGGCCTAACAAATCAGGCAGGAATAGTAGTCCAATACCATCAACTGTTGGTGTGTCAAAAGAGGTGTCTGAAATAACTATTCTTGATCCAAAGAAAGATGGAGAGAATTCTGGTTCTTTGATTCCCCCAACTGCCCATTGTGGTTCTCGCCACCCATCTCGCCCCAGTTCTCATCACATGGAAGTACCCCCAGAATGTGAAGTGCAAGATCTAAGCAAGAAAGTAAAATCGAGAGATGTCAGTCCTGTAAAGGACTTCACAAAAAGGGAACGTATTGTAACACCTGTTCGACCACCATCTGGTTCTGGTGGATCGTCTCACATAAACTATATGGGTGCCCCACCCCCTGCACATTGTAATCAGTTTCGAACTTCACAACCACCACCTCCTGCTCTTTCACCTCATTATGTTGCAGAACCTCATCATGAAGCTTATTTTTCCCGAACTGGCGATTCGAGGAGTAAGCAGTATGCTTCATCTGAACGACCTTTATCTCAGCCTCCTCATTTAGTGGCACAAACTTCTTCTCTTTCAACTGTTTCTCCAATTCCAACGCATGCAAAACCTGTACCTATTAAAGCAACAGTTCCTCCACCACCCCCTCTTGTTGCATCAAAACCATCACAATTGTCCCCTAAAACACCTTATAAAGAAAGATTGGTTGCCCTACCACCAACTGGTTCTATAACCCAAGGAACTCCAGTTAACCAACAGTCTATGCCGGTTCCTCCTACCAATCTTTCATCTTCAAGGTATGAAGGTTATTTGAGACAGTTGCCACCAACTCAGACTAAGGATGGTGGCTCTATTACTCTTGGTACACCTGTGCCACATGACTCTGTAAAACGTGTTCCTACTAGTAGATCAGAATCTTTTGGCCCTAATATGCCTGATAATAATTTAGTGAGACAAGCAGTCCCTGCAATGTATGATCCAACTGTTATGGAATATTACAGACAAGTTGGACCAACAGGTCAGCAGTACTCATTTCCACCAGGCTATTCACCATATCCACCTAATGTTCCTGCTCAGCGACCTTCCTTTGCTAATGAATCACAACTCAGCTCAAAACAGATCATAATAGATTATAATACTTCTAAACAAATGCAATTAAGACGTGGGGCTGGTGGACCTCCAGAAAAAGAAATGAAAGTATCTCCACGAGGAACAGAATCAAATCCCCCATCAGTGCCTCCAGATAGTCACTTACATCCCATGTATCCTCCTGCTAACTATCAAACAAATGCTGGATCGCATTACAATCATGTACCATCTTATCCACATGGGGATTCACGATATTTACATCATCGATCACCTAGTGCTCAAACAGATCGAACTAGAAGCCCATCAGGAGTTGAATCTCCTCACAGCACAGGATATTCCCAACTTCCTGGAAAACGAAGCCCAAGTTTAGCTCTTTCATCTGGACGACAAAATGTAATTCACAGAAGCATAACTTACGGTACTGCTAAACCATCGGTAATACAAGCACCCCAGTCTGCTTCACCTCGTACTTTTGAAATGCGAAGTGAAACTGTTAGTCCAGCTAGTGCAAGGAAATCCACACCATCTCCTCGTCATCCTCAGCCGTTAGTGTATTCAGCTGTTCCATCTGGGCATGATGCCTTTAACACATTAGTGAATGCTGCAGTTGCTCAACCCAGCTTAGCTGTTCCAAAAGACGGTAAAGGTTCTCCTACAACTAGTGCTCATAATCGACAGGATGTGAAATCCCCCAGGGATAGACCTCCTGTGGTTGAAGGGCTGGAAAAAACTCTTATTGATATGCATCAACGACCACGATCGTATACAGAATCTGGCCATAATTTGGTAGCTCATGAAAGAGGAAGGACTAGTGAACAAAGTTCTGTAGAGCAGCAATCACAATCCATGAGTAATAGCCATCGCTATTCAGGTTCTATCCACAATTCTTACGATATGAGAGATCCCAGAAATCTTGATAAAGCTATGCTTGTTACTGAACAGTTTAGGCTAGGAAATATGAGAGAACCCTTTTCTAGGGAACAATTTGAAAGGCAGATGCGTCAACCTAATATGCCTGCTTCTCGTGATCGCATTAGTTCTAAAAAAGATGATGAGCGCAACAGATCTGCTGTTATTGAAAATCAAAATTATTCCAATTCTCAACAGTCAGATTTAGATAATGAAGCTTCCAAAATATTCTCTCAGTCTTTCCAAAAAGACCCTCCTAGTTCATCACATGGAGTATTGACAGCATCAAGCTTGATTGATGCGATAATTACTAGACAAATAAATTCTAATGAACCACCGATAGTGACTAAATACTCTTCTATAGATTTGTTCAATCAATACAATTCTTATGATGACAAACCTAATGTAAAATCTGGGAATAATAAGAGAGCAGAAGTGGTCACTATTGATGATGAACCTGAAAATGAAAAACTTTCATCCCAGTATATTGATAAACATAATTCGCGTGGTCGTTCACCTCCTGTATCAACAAGCAATGCCATGGGTCCCATTTATTCTGGAGAAAAAGCATTCACATTAAATGATCACATAGCCGCAATTATATCCAAGGATTATAATAATCCATCTGATCTAACCCAATCTCATCGTGGTGGTTCCCAATCATCGTGTAATTCTTCTCGAGCTTCTCCATACACTGGAGGAGGATCCTCTAACTCACATGGCTCAGCAGGTGGTAAACCATTAGAAGGTATTGCATCATCTTTACCATCTGAAGGAATTCTCTTAAACTCAAATGTTCCTCATGGAAGTCCTGATCACAGTCCTCAAAATTGTCCCGGTAATGGCTGTTCTTTTCACACACACAGCTGGAAACTAAGAAGGGCTTTGCAACAGGATAGAGAAAGGGATCATAGATCTCCTGGTTTGAATGAAAATGCTATCAAAAGACCTTCATCAAATCAAAGTTCAGATTCTTCTGCTCCACAGGAAGAAAGACAAATTATTAGAGTTGCTCAAACTTCATCTCCTTCAGTGCAATCAACACGAATATCCCCAACTGGGCCCTATGGTGTGGAACCTATATCTCCACCTAGTCAAACACCTGAAAGTACAGATCCACCTAGTAGAACACCATCTAATTCTTCAGTTGGTAGTTTGATTCACAATCAACCTCCAGCATGGGCCAATAACCCTAGTATCACTGGACTTCTTACTACTCGCCTGCTGTATCCACAAGAATATCCGGAAGGCATCCCACCTTCATCAATTCCACACTATGCAACACCTTCATCTTCTACTGGTGCTATGGGACCAGGGCGACCACCCCATCAGCAGCAAATGGGGTTATCTCCGTTAGACTATGTTAAAAATCGAATAGTTGAAGTAATGAGGACTGCCACTGATGTTGAACCTGAAAGTTCAGAATCTCGCCGCCCTCATTCTGCCATGAGTCATGCTGAGGAGAGAGAGCAACTCCACATTTATCGTTTTCAACCAGGTGCTGACAGAGAGGGTAGAGAGCTTTCTAACGAAAGACCGTGCAGTACAGGTAATGGGCCACCCCTCCTACAAGGACAACGATACAGTCCTGCTGTGTCCCGGTATAGCCCTGTACCTCCAAGACCGTCAAGTGCTGTTGAACGTGTACCTAGCCGTAATTCAACTCCTAGTGAGTTATCACGGCAACACAAAAGAGGTTCAGAAGGCCATCTTGTGTCTGGAGATTGGCGTGAAGGCCAAGTTTCTTCAAGAGCAAACTCAAGGTCTGTGTCTCCTAGTGTTGATCATCCTGATAGTGTACGTAAAAAAACTCGATCTGAGGGTACATTCATACCCGAGAGTACAACAGATCGTGCTCCTGTCCTATTACCCCAAAATTCAACCAACATTCATCGTTCTGGTTCCCTGTCAGAGGCCCCCCGCCTCAGTTCAAGCAATCAAGGCGCTCAAGTCCTAGAGTGCCAAAGTGCTTCCAAAAGCATTGTTTCTCCACGGACAGAATCCTACCATCAATCTCAAACAGAAAGTGACTGTTATAAATACCGTGTTAGTGAAAGCCGACCAGAAAATCAGTGGAGTATGATGAATAATCACAATAGAACTGCTGACAGTGAATCACTAGCACGATTAAATGAATCTATGAGTATTGGTGCTGCTTCATCTACAACAGAACCTTATTCACCATCAAGCAGGGGTGATGCGCAACCTAAATCGTTAGATCGTAGTGATTCAGGGACTAGGCAAAGTCCTGTGACTAGTTCAGGTAGTGCATCTCAAGAGCCTAGTCGAAGCAGCCCCAGTGCATCCTCTCAGGGTCAGAGAAGCGCTACATCGACACCGCTGGGTGTGAGTGCTTCGCCGAGCTCAGGTTTATACTCTCCATTTGGGACTACGAATGGTGGTGTAAGCAGCAGTACTAATGTAATATATTCCTCTGCATCTTCATTACCTCCACCTGCAAGTCCTCATGTAGCTTACTCTTCTTTCTCAGGAATGGGCACAACTTATGCCTATCCTTATTCTGCGTTATCGATGAGGACTCTTGCTGCCTCTACCACTCATAGTTCTACTTCTATAACTAATAGTACATCTTCTGTTTCTAATTCTCACGTTCCCCCTTTAACGGCAAATAGTGCATCTAGAAACTCTCCATCTTCATCGATACGAAACAACCAACCTCCCCCATTATTGTCTTCTCAATATGAACCATTGTCAGATGAGGATTGAAGTGTGCAATTTTTTTTTTCTAAAAAGAAAAACAATTTGTTATTTGCTGCTGGAGCTCTTGTATACTTAGCCCTTTGCATTCCAGAATCTATATCTAATGCTATTCATGTGGTTTGTGACTCTGGCTGCAGCAGCTGTCTACTTTTGAAAACTATTTCAAGTCTTGCATGCTAAAGACTATGAGTGCAAGCGGTGGTTATTGCTCATTTCAACCACTAGTAATTTTCTTTTCTGTGATCACTTTAGTGGCAGATATCTTGTTCTAAATTTATGGATATATCAGCATTTCTTTCTGAACACTGCCACTCCCCCGATTTCCCAGGGGCGGATTTTTAAAATTGCAGCCAGCAAAAGTAAAAAAAAAAGACATTTACTAGAAGAAAAATGTATGTGATTTAAAATATTTAAAGACACTTATCTACTATGCAAAATGAAAATATGCAAATTTTTTATTTAACTTTGTGAAGATATTACCTATATTTCTAGTCTTGAGGTATTTTATATATATAACTTTTTCTGTTCTGTTGTACAGTTTATTTCCTCTCTGTTAAATCAATCCGCCCCTGCTGTTAAGCTCAATTGGAACTCTGGCATTCAACTCAAACTCCTTTTTAACTCAATAGTCGCCGAAGTTCAGTGCCTTGATCCGCTGCAGGGTACTTGGTTTCATCCTAACAGACAATTGTACTATTTATAGTTTGCTTCAGAAAAGGCTTAAGAATGTTTTTAATAATACATTGTTTTTCAGTCAGCGTGAATGTCCATTAAATGAAACAAAAAATAGGAAATATATGTAGCATATTCATGCTGACATGTCCAAAAAGAAAAAAAACAAAATTTGAATGATATATAATTTTTGCTCTGTAGAATAATTTTTTTTCCTCCTTGATTCTACAAGGTGTGGCACACCAGTATTTAACTACAGGACAATTCTACTAGTTATGAATGTCATATTATATTATCAGGTTTAGCATATACATCACTTAATGAAATTTGAGCTGTTCTAAAAATTTTTGTGGAAATATGTCTTGGTGTCATTTATATTTTTTTTTTGACACCAAGGCTTATTTTAATATATATTTAGGACTACTCTATTTTTTGAAATTGAGTTATGCTTAAGTCTGTAAATATGGAATTCTTAAACAGTGGAATTGCCCTATAATATTTTTTTTAATAAAAAAGTAGTATTTTAATAAAAGTTCCCTCTATTGAAGTCAATCGATTTTACTACATTATCCCGGTGCTTAATTTTTTATAAACTTCGCCTGTAAATCTAATAGTAGCGAGAGTAAATAGAATGTAGTTCGTTAAAGTGTCTCATATCATTTTGTACATAACTGAGTTGTAAATATGTTTGTTTCCTCTCCTTAATCATTTGAATTAGTGCAATATGATGTAGCTTACTTTTGTTAATTGAAAATTATTTAAAAAAAAAATCTTGATTTTTAAAACATTCCATTTTTTATCGACACTTTCAGAAGGTTGTGTGCATATTTTTCTTATTTTTGTCCGGTGACAGAACATGTAATTAATTGTATGCATGTTGTTTTAAAATTGATGTATCATTGAGCTTTTAAAATCTAGTTTAATGTGTCTAAAAGGTGATAGTGAATTTTTGTAATTAATTTTTTTTCCAGTGCTGCTTAAACATAATTTTTTTCTATAGTCGTTTATACCTTACCTGTGCAGTGGCCTGCGGTCTATTTAGAATGCCCTTTGGCAAATTCCTCGATTAGATGCCTCTGAAAAGAGAAATTTATCGCAAGGAGGCAAAAAAAAAAAAATAATGGATAGATTTATATTTATAGTAATTTTTAATCCATATTAAAATTCATTTTTATATAAATTATTAAAAGTGAATATCAGTCTTTGGTAAAAGGTTAATTATTTAAAACAAAAAATTTTTTTTTTGTAGTTTAAAGAATATTTAAGTCTTAATTACCCTAAAACTTCTCTATGAAATTTACACTGTATATCATTTTGAAAATTATACTTTATTCTTAATAAAATATTTGACTTGAATCATCTTACTAACCCTTAACAATTAAAAACTAAATAAATTTTAAATATAACAATTGATAAAAAATATTAAAATGGCTTGCCACCATGTTACGCGATGTTGGACGAAATAAGTGAAAGTGTTATGCCTCTTATATGGCAGCATTGGTATTGAAGATTAAAAATATTTTATTAAATTATAAAATGTCCTTGCTGTTGATTGGATGCCTCCATTAGCTGGACACCTGGGACTGTTGTCTCCTGCAAGCCACTGTACCAGTGCTGTATGAATTATTATTTACACAGGATGATGTTATTGCAAAAATGTATGAATTGTTATTTACATGTATCACAATTTCCCTAAAAATATTTTATGTCTTGGTTTATGTTCAATTTTTTTCTTAAAATTTAAACTATTTTAAACATACTTTTTTTTATGAATTATGTTCTAAGTTATAAATCACCTTCATAAAGACAAAGATAAGAATTTCTGCTTCTAAGAGTGAATGTGATATAAAAATTTGACCTTTTTAAGGTGACACTCACGGTTCCTGGTGTGCCACAGTTGAGAGAAATTCTGTAAATACTTTGATATGTATAAAGTTAAAATCTTTTTTAATGAATTTAGGGGATGAATTACTCATGTTGTAAAAATGTATCGACAAAAAAGAGGCTCATTATAAATAATCATCTGATTCCATCATCTGGTTACTAGACGCTCAGATCCAATCTGTCATTCTAATTTTTTTTTAAATATTTGTTTTTCCCCCGTATTAACAGGTCCACATTTACATTTAATGTAGTTTATCTGGTTTTGGGGTAAATAAAAATTAAATTATTACTTTTGTTTTCAAAAAAAAAAAAGGTGAAAATATATTTTGTTTTTGTATTATAAGTTGTAAATAGCACTGAAGGTTTCTGGAGCCGAGAATAACTGCATATTCATGTGGTAAAAACAGAATATTTCATACACGCATTAAAAAATTAATAAATAAAAAAAGACAAATTGTATCATATCAGTGTTGAATGTTTGTACCAAAAGCTGGCTGTAGTATTCAGAAACCTGTTACTTTTGTTGGCAAATTAAAAAAAAAATCTTGTTGAAATATACTTTCACAGTCTTGACTTTTATTTCTTGCCATATAAACATGTTATATAATTTTTTTCTTATTGTCACACTGATACAATTGCATGCTACATATTTTTATGTGTTATTTTAACGCTTGTACATTTTTGCCAAGTCCTATGTTATTTTTTATTAACACACAGAAGTACTTTTTTTTGTCTATTCTACTTAAACTAGGGTGTAGAAATTTTTTTTTTCTGTCAAGAGATGTTTATATCAATTGATAACTTAATTATTCTTTAGTATAATAAAAACAATACCAATATATCTTAAAAATTAAAAGGCAAAATCAGATCATAATTTTCTTAAAATTAAGAAATATTTGAAGTTGTTATCAATAAAATTAGGTTACAACAGATTTTCTAAAATTAATTCCATTATTTTTTTATTTTGCCTAAATTTTTTACTCAAGTTAAGAATTACACTTGTTTTGGCTAAAGAAATGTCAAAATATTTATTCTCATAATGGTGTAAAAAGTCGAAAAAATACGGTCAAATTTCTTTTATGAGGTCAAAATCTTGAGATACCAATGTGACGTTTATTTAGTTAAGAAAAAAAATTTATTATGGTAGTTTTGATGCTTTTTCCAATTTTTGGTTGAAAGTTAGTTCGTGATATGTTTATTTAAAAAAAAAAAAACATAAAGTTAGGCTATTGTAAAGAAACTAAGCATTTTTTACTTATTTATTATCTTTTGATATTTTTTTTTTAATAGCCTTGTCGGACTTTTTCCTAAGCATTTTATCTTTCTAGTTTTTCTGCCCTTCAAACTATTGCTATAATATCTTCTAAATTTATCGACTTGTGTTTTGGCTTGCAGCATGAATAAAACAATACCTCACTTGTCACTCTCTAAAACGGAAAACGTCAGGTATTAATTTTAGACCTAAACCAAAGCGCTTATAAACCAATTTTTAGCTAATTATTCACACTAAGAGCTATTTATATTGTTCGCAAAGAAATAAACCATTTTTAAATTAAAGCAGGAAATTTTTAAAAGAGAAAAAAAAAACATGTTTTGAACAAAATAATCTCGCACATTCAATGAAATTATTTAACACTAATGAGAAGATTTCTTTTCATAAATGTCAAAAGAATATTAACATATGCATAATTTAATTTGCAATAAAAAGTTTTTTTTTCTCCAAAATTCAATAGGACACAATTTAATAATATTTTACAAATAAACATTTAAATGCTATTTTCAAGATACAAATTTATTTATTTTAAAACAATCATAAGTACACATATTTAATACTAGCAATAAACAATTAGTGCATGTGAGAGTAAAACAAAGTAAAAATTAACATAATGATCAAATTTTCATTCCTTTGCTGCTGCACTGAGGAAGGCGCTCCTGTCTAATCCTCGAATAACAATCTACAGGCCAGTTTTTCTTTTACTTTGTCTTACTATCAGCACTAATCTATTACTACCCACTTGCATAGAGTATAAACAGTAACAATTTTGACTTCAGAATGAAAAGCAAGCAATAAGGCACAATTTATGAATTCTACATAAATCAAGTAAGGCTATGGAAATAATAGCAATAATATTTGAAGTATAAATTGCATAGCTGGAGATACTTTTTGTAAGCATATATTTACAACTTGTTCTTAAAAGTAACTTAATAGAAATAAGCACAATGGATATGTTCGAATAAACATGAACAAATAATGAAAATGTATAAAGAAAAGGAACACAATGAATTGAAGAGTTAAATATTTAAAAGACTAATACAATATGTTATAAATTAAAAAGCATTGGCATAGTTGCCAACTTATCAACTTTAACCATAGCATTTTTCTAAAATATTAAAAATGGCAAGGCAATGTCTTAAATTAACAGAATTAACAAACATTTGAAAACTCAGTTGAATGGAAAAGATAAATGGCTTTTTTTTATACATTTTAATTTAAAAAAAATAATTATAAATTAAGTAATGAAACCAAATGTAAATTTTAAAATTGGAATTTTGCTGGAAAAAGTTTTTTTTGCAGCTGAAATAGAAAAGTTGGCAACTAAATAAAATACTTTATAAATCTTATAACTGTAACTTACATAGACTTAAAAAGTGAAGACAAAAAATACATACTTTCAACAAAATAACACTAATTTTAATAAAAACAATCTTCATATTTTAAGATGAGTTGGGCTATTCTAAATTAAATTTTATTCTAAATTAAATTTTGGGACATATTTACAGGATTTCATTGACAATATTCACTGATAAATGGGAGTAAAATAATTAAACGTAATTTAACTAACATTTGAAAACATAGTCCAACGATAATAGGGATACATTAAAACTATTAAATGGATTAAAATCAAAGATATTAGACTTTGAATTTTGCTTTGCTGGAAATTTGTGCTAAGCTGAAATAAAAAAGTTGGCAATTATTTAAAAATTTCATTAACTATAACTTTCATATGATTTTTATTTTAAATACATACTACGTAGAAACCAGTACTAATTTTATTCAAAACAGCCATTAAGTTTAGTAATACCAAAGCGAATTTTAGTTATGGCATATTTACAGGATTTCATTGACAATATTTACTGACATATGACAATGAAATAATTTAAATAAATAGAATTTAATTAACATTTAAAAATATGGTCAAATGAAAAGATCAGTTTTTTTTAATACATTTGAATTATTATAAATTAATGTAAATCAAAGTTATTAAGTTCAAAAGAAAATATAAAACCTTCAATTCAGTTTTTTTTAATACATTTGAATTATTATAAATTAATGTAAATCAAAGTTATTAAGTTCAAAAGCAAATATAAAACCTTCAATTTTGTTGAGAAACATTTTTGCGTGGCTGAAATAAAATAAAAAATAGCCAGCTATATAAAAATAGCTTAAAAATTTCATTAACTATAACTTTCATTATATGATTTAAAAAAGAAAACAAAACATACTAAGTAGAAACCAGCACTAATTTGATTGAAAACAGTTATTTATATATTTTGAGTTGAGGTGCACCTAATATTATTTCAGTACTGCAAATAAAAAAGAAATTTAAACAAAGTAAAACGTGTCATTCATAATTTCATTTGCGTTTTCTAAATTAAAGTAAGATAAAATGAATTTTCGTAAATATACCAAATGGCCAACTGAATTTGTTGAATAGTAAAAATGCTTGGGGGGTCATAGCAACTTCCCAATCATCGCTCCTGGATGTCCTTTAAATGTCTATAATATATGTCCTGAACATAAAACAGGGTACGCAGCCAAATTTTTCAACAAAAAATAAGCACTTTTCAAGCACTTTAGACAGGGCATAAAATGAAGACTGAAATTGAGAATCTCTTGCAAAATGCAGCAGGGTTACACATGAGAGTCAAAAATCCTTACCACTGAATCCAGCTCAGTATACGCAAGTATTTCATCAAACATGCAAAACAAATGGTGTTTTCATACACTACAGACGAAATAGATTGGGGTTGAATTAATTGGGAAAACGTTGAATAGGACAATGTCTTTTTGCATAATTTGTGGCGAAAATCAACATGGCAAAGAAAAATATCACATTTCGGAAAAGGGAAAATTAAGCACTTTTTAAAAACACCTGTGGAAAAAAGCACCTTTAAGGGCTTTTAAAAAACGAAAATAAGCACCTTTAAAAAACGCTACGCACCCTGTAAAAGAATATATTTTGATAAAAAGAAAATTTCTTGATAAGAACATTTTTAGCATGTTGTCAATAGCGATAATGAAAGGATATTGTGGAAATGAATTACACTGTTAAGTGGGGGCAACAGTGATAATAATTTTTGATGATTTAGTAACATGTTGCTACTCAACATTAGCAAAATATTGCCTCACCTGCATTCAAAAGTATGATTAACTAGAAATAAAAACAATTTTTTCCTTTTTAAGTGAAATAAATTTTAATAAGATGAATTACAGTTGTGCCTATTGAACAGGAAAACTTATCCTAGTCTTTTGACTTTAATTTTAATATGAACAGAGTATCACAGAATATAGTTATAGCTCTCACAATTAGAATAGATGTTTAAAAATCAGTCTCTAATTTTAAAAGAAACTAAACAACTCAAAACTATACCTCTACATAGGATTACTTCTTTTTAAAAGTTAGCATATTCTTTAATCAAATATTTCCAATATATTGTAAAAAATTTATCAATATGATCCAAAGATACTACTTTTTTGAGAAAGATTTTCAAATTTAAAAAATAAAATAAAATTGAATAATGTTTTTTCTCTACTTTGCATTACTGCTGGATCATATTTATACATCTATTATAATTGTTGACTAATGTTAACAATACAAGATGAAAAAAAAAACACTCTACTAACATTTTCGATAACTAATTATGCAAATAATAAACATAAAACTAGAAGATAATATCTTATAAGATTCAGTAGATTAACCCCTTCACTACTGAAATATAAAGGTATAAAGTAAAAAAATATTTTACAGCTCCCAACTTTTACTACCGCAAGTCATAATAAGATAAATAAAATATAAATTATACTACCAAGGGGTCTAATAATTTTTGGTACACACATGAGGATCTCGGGCTAATCTGAAGTCGAATACAATAATAAATAGATTTAACAATTATTTAGGAAAAAAAATATATATGTATAAAGTTTGAGCAGAATACAATGCAATACTGCATTAAATCTCAATTTCAAAACTATTTTTGTTATGTGAATCAGGCAAAATAGTTATTAAAAGAATCTAATATTAATTATTAAAAATGTATTTAATTCTTGGAGGTAAAATTTCAGCATAATAGAAAAAAACTGCAAGTTCAAAGTTATTGAATGTATGTACTATAAAATAAAACAATTAAAAAAAATATTATCTAAATGGATTTAAAACTAAATACTCACAATACTATGAGATTTCTCTCAACTACTACACAATCATAAATTTTGCCATATGTGCCAAGATACACATATGCACCTGCATATTGTTGACTGTACTATTTTTGAATAAATTTAAAAGCCTCATATAGATCACAAAACTTCTCAGTCAAAAGAAAAATAATTATTTTCAGAATAACTAAATTATAGAAAATCTGAAAATATTTATGCATTCGAGCGAAATTGATTTAGCGTCATTTTTCAAAAATCACCTATTTTAGAACAAACTACATGTTCTGAAACGATTGGAATCCCCAGAAAGCTTAAACGTATATGGATGTTTCAGTGAAAAGGAAACCATACATTTTCTTACAGCATGTTTTAAAAGGTAAGAACTGAGGTAACGAAGAGGTTAAGTGAGTTGGGAAATGAAGATTAAAAATATCACAAGTTTGAATGTCACATTCGCATTCACCGTGTTCTGCTTCTAGTGGAAGAGCTAGTGCTGCTATTTCCCAAGAGGCGAGCAACACTGGGATTTGGAGAAGGCATTCGCCTCACTTTCAGTTTCTTGGAAATGATGCAAAAAATGATGAGTGTTACAAACTGCACTAATGCCAGAAAGAAGAAGTAATAATATAACTTTCCATTATTGATGTTACTTGAATGATGACCTATAAACAAGCCTTCAATATTTTCAAATGATGTTAAGGCAGCAACCCCAAGGAAACTTCCTATACCAGTGCAAAAGTAATAAAGGCCCATCACAGCACCTTGCATAGTTGTTGGAGCTTGCGAGCAGGCAAATTCCATGCCTGCAAAATTAAGAATAAAATGAGCAAATTCAAGTATAACATAGTAGACAATAATCAGCGTATGTTTTAATATGGTAAACAATATTAACCACATAACACATAATAATAATCAATGCATATTCTTAAACATTAAGATTTGTGTTAATGTGAGAGCTTAAAACCAAGTTTTCTTAAAAATGGCAGGAGATTTTAAAAATACATGAAAAATAGACCACTTTCGTTTTCATAAAATAAGAAGTATGTGTTAAAACATAAAATGACAAACCCCCCTTTAGAAAAAAAATTATAGATTGCAGAAAAATGATTTAAAAAGCAGATTTTAAATGTTTAATTTTTTTATCCCTTATGAAAGAATCATCAGTACAGTTATTGGAATATAGCGTCCACAAGTTGAATTTAGTGTTTTAACACATCAGCTCAAATCTGGAACAGAAGACTTCCTTTTTTTAAAAATACAATAAAATAAAAATAGCATTTTTCAATATTTTAGACTTTTAGATTATTCTACCAAAACATTGAATTGATTTTCATAAAAATGAAAAAGTTACAGCATAATGTGTAAAGCGGGGTGCAGTGTATGATCCAAGTGAACTTGTGCACTCAGTTGATTAATGAATTTACTCACTCCTTTTAGTAAAATACTATCGTTTTAACTAATTTATTGAAATAATTTTTAACGAATGTTGCAAACCGTTATTGAGTTTTGAAAACAATTAGAAATAAATGAAGGCTCAGAAGTTCAATATGAAATTATCACAGAGTTTCGGGGGTAGATAAAGAAGAAAAAGGGCTAGACTAGCACTTTAAGACTGTTGAAAATTATGAAAAAGAAGCATCTTAAGGACCTGGTATTGAAGCATAGTTAGTTGCAAGATTTTATATCTTTATATGGAACAATTTTAAACACAAAACTTTAAATGCAATTTACTCGAAACTATGTTTCTTACACTAGCTGCACCTCTAACCAGTATTATTTTCAACCGATTTACATCAAATTTTTAAACAATGTTCACAATAAATATAGGTTTTGTTGAAGATAGAAATATTTTAACTGGGTCGACTGGTTTTGGAAAATCCACGAAAATGTAACTTATTTCATGTCATTTTTAAAATCACTATTTTGCGGAATAAAAAAGAAAAAAATTTTTAAGTAAACATTTTTAATTGTAACAGAAACTACATTCATGTAATTTTAAAAAATCAAATTTGGCCGATTTTTTTTTCAACTTATGAGTATAGCAAAAAATGAATACTTTAAAAAAATAAGTTATAAATATTGCTAAGTGCTAATTTTTTAAAATTTTTGTATTAGTAACATGATAAATTAATATTAAAATATTTCAAAAACGTAAAAAAAATGTATTAGTTTATTACAATCGTTTCAAAATTCATTAAAAATCCTTCCTTACTCAGGCTTCTACTGTCCTCTTCTCTCTTAATAAACTGGCGGAAGTGCAGTAAAAATTCAAAACAGAAGGCAAGAGGAATTTTTAAAATACGTTCATGTATACGTTAGTAGTTTTAAGAAGATACAAAATTTTTAATACACTGTTTCATTTCAGTGCAAAAAGCAACTCTCTGTAAAATGCAGAAGAGTTGGCAACTATGAAATATTGATTTTTAAACAAAGAGTTCAATGGAATAAAACAACCCGAACTGGCTATTTGAATATACAGCAATATATATTCAATGCAAAACACTCAAATATTTTTTAAAAAGAGATCACCAGAGTAACTTAGTGCTAAGCTTATTTGAAGAAGATAAAATCCTTAACATAAAGAATGTATACAAAAAAGAAAGAATTACAAAATAATGTATATATGAAAATGTATTGCCAGATAAATACACATAAGAGTTTCACGAAAAAGTTACAGATCTTCTCTTTACATTCATTACAAGGTTAATTTTAAAGAAAAAACAAGTGCATATTCAAAATAACTTTTTCAAAAAAGGAGTAATCAAAACCAATACTTTATCAAATATTTGTTATTTAATTTTAGTTTCGTTATTAACACGAAAACATTGGGAAAAAAAACTTAATAAGATATTTTAGAATTTCATTTTCCATCAGGGTAATATAAACCTTAAACAGTATGTTGTAAAAACAAAACTTTAAATGTAACATGCAAACATTTAAGCATAACAAGGCAATTAAATTCATAACTTTTGTTTTGCATCTATTTATTTTTTTAATTAAAAATAACACTGAATTAAAAAAACATCTCTATTATAACAAATATTAAAAACGTAAGCATAATTAAAATACTTACCACTAACGCTAGTAAAAACTTCACTAATGCCGATTAGGGAATATTGGGGTATTTGCCACATTATAGGCAAATCAGCAGCAACAAAAACTGTGTTTTCAATAGTTTGATTAACTATTCGTCCCCTAAAAAATTTAAATTGAAATGATACTGAATTCATACATTTCTTTTTAACACTAAAAAGAACCAATATTAATAGGCTATAATTTAAACTCACTCATGGATGAAGTGCAATCTGCAGATTTCTAAGCAACCCGCAATAACCATTGATAATGTAGCACACATCATTCCAATTGCCATCCTTGTCAGTATGCTTATTTGAGTACCACGTCTGTCCAACCATGGGTAGATCACATGGTTCATTAATGGAATAAAAATTATAAGAAACAACACATTGAAAAGCATGAGCCAGGCAGCAGGAATCTGTGAATTGTATTATATTATTACACAGGTGCAAACTAAAAGAAAATGCAACAACAATAATTTATAAAACGAGAATATACTGGGAGGAAAATATGAGCTACTTATTATTTATTAACTTCTCAAAGAAAAAATTTCAATATCTCATGCGATTCTGAGACTCAAGGAAGGAAATAGAAAAAAATACTTGACTTTTCCCGATTGATTTTATCTAATTTTTGCAATCAGTGGCATATGAGCCGCGTTGGCTCAGGGGATAGAGCATTTGGCTTCCAATGCGATGAAGAACCGGCTTCGAATCCCAATCTATACGAATTCCGCATCCGGCTCGTGCCAACCACAGTGCTGACGTGAAATATCCTCAGTGGTAGACGGATCATGGGTTAGAGTCCCCTTGCCATCATGCTAACTGTGGGAGGTTCTAGCGGTCTACCTCTTCATGTAATGCAAATGCGGGTTAGTTCCATCAAAAAGACCTTCATGAAGGCAAATTTCTCCTAATACTCGATCCAGGAGTTCCCTTGTCTTCTGGATTGGGTTCAAAATTACAAGGCTACAGAGTTGAACATTAGTAGTCTTAAACCCATAAAAATTGGGTCGGCTGTTCAATGATGGTTATAAGGTAAAAAATCAAATCAGTGGCATATACAGAGCCATCGTGGCTCAGGGGATAAAGCAATTTACACTAGTGATCAAATGTAAGAGAATTTTTATAGGTGGATTTCAGAACTGCAGGACACATTTTAATAAAACTTGGTCAGAACATGGGTTGATATAATACAAAAATAAACATTCAACAGTTATAATTATAATACACAGGCATGATTGTATGTAACACTCATCAGAGCCAGATGGTATCAAAGAAAGGTAACTGAATTTAATAAAAAAAAAATGGCTAATAAAGGGTATTGCTCTCTTATACCGATATTCAGGCTCCACGCTGTGATTTCAAATTGCAAATAAGGCTGTTTATGAGTCCCTGAGGCAGTTTGTCCCACTTGTTAAGTAACGCCCTTATCAAAGACTGGATGGTTTTCGGAGAAAAGTTACAAGTTGTAATTTAACCTCCCCATATTGTCCCAAACATTCTCAATAGGATAGAGGGCACAGGCCAGCAAACTTTGACCACCATAATGGTTGATTTCTTGGACATTAGAGGGCAGGTAGCAGGTCTCTCTATATGAAAGTATGTCGAGAATCAGTGGCCAAGCTGAAGCTGGATTCCTCAGTGAAGGGAATATTAGACCATTGTTCCAATATCTATGATCTCTGCACCATCCTAAATAGACTCTTCAGTTAGCAGAAGACAAATAGCAAGTCCTTTTGCAAACAGTTCTCATAAAGCCTTCTAGAAACAGCAATCCTTGAAAGTTGACTGCTTGTGGCAACATAGAGGTCTCCAGAGAGTTGAGGAGCAGGGGCATCCTTCTTACACTTCACAGTAATAAACAAATACAGATCTTCATTTACCATTGTGGTTCTTTGCCGATCATGACAGGACTTTCTGCAGACAGAACTGAATATCAGTGTAATGGAATGAGGGAACTATTCTCTGGTAAAAAATTTATTGTTTCCAACAAATTAACGCAAAATGTTACAAATATTAAACTTTTCATATTTTTTACAATTTAAAAGCTTCTTTCTTTAATTTGTTTGAAAATCATACTTCAATCTTCGTAAAGTAGCCAAATATTTATTTGTTGAAAAATTAAAATTTTAATATTTTTTTAAAACTTTTTAAAAGCTTTATTTTATTAAATTTGTTTGAAAATTATGCTTTTATCTTCATAAAATATTTTGCTTGAGCCAAATATTTATCTGTCAAAAAATGTTAACCAACTTGTTTGAAGATCGCGATTTTTTCTTCATTAAAACAGTTTGCTTAAGCCCAATATTGAAAATGTAAAAATTTTTTACTTTTCAAAAACTAAATTAAGTTTCAAAAACTTAATTTAAAACTTCATTAATTTTAACTTAATTTTTAATTAGTAAAGTTATTTGAAAAAAACTTGCTTTTTTCTTCATAAATATTTTGCTGTTAAAAAGTTTAATTTCATAACCAAAACAGTTGTAACATAATACATTTTAAGTTTTAGTGTCCTTAGTCATTGAAAGGATGCCCGCTTTGGCTGGAGGTCTCGGAATATTATTCCCTTCATTCCCCCTCTTCCCATCACTGCATTCAATTGAAATATTTAGTGAAACACTGATGCCAAATATTAAGAAATACATATGAATTGATAAATCTAGTCACAGAAACGAATTTAGTAACGTGATAATATAAAACTTTTGCAATAGAAAATAATTCTCAGTACAACAATTTTTCAAAATTACCGAAAATTCAGTTGCATCTTTAACATCAGCAGTAGAATTGACTGGCAAAATGCTCAACCTCATTTGCAGACCTTGAGCGAGAAAAGTTGTTTGCATCTAAAAAGGTAGGATTAGAGAATTAATTATTTCCTAAAAAATAAAGTTACATTTCGGCATAATATTATGAATTTAAGTAAGATAAAGTAAAACTTGTAGTAGAGTAAGTAAGGAGTCACAGGGTAGAAAATTATTATCACAGAAAATAATTATTATCTCTCCAAACTGCCATTTACTTATTATTAAGAACTGTGCTTAATGTATAACACTCATTTTTACAGAGCAAAAATGGCTCATTGATGAAAGTACACATCCATCTTTAAATGTTCTCAAACAAGTAATTAGTCATACAGAATCTGCTGTGAACTCTTTTTAACTACCTTTATCACCCTGAATACTGGTTTTGTTACTGCATTTCTGAACTGCCAGCCTTTCATTTTAGTAGCCCTAATGTAGGGAGGAGTGCACAAACTTCTTGAGTGAAGGGCCACTTGCACTGCAGGTAGATTAACAAAGGGCCACATGCATATTTAGTCATATTAGCAGCAAATATGATAATTTTTATATAAACATTATTCTTCAAAGCATTGAATATTTTAGGCAGTAAACTTAATAACATAATTGCAGAAAATTAAGTACTTTTAATTATTTGAATTTATTTGAAACTGAAAAGAAAAAAAAATATGGGGGGGGGGGGTAATTGAACCAAAGAAGAAGTTTACAAAATGAAAGTGCAAAAACTATACACATTTTATTGAGTATTATAAATTTGAATTAAATATTTTAATTAAATAAAATTTATAATCTTTAAAAAAATGAAATGAAAAGAAATTTTTTATTCATTCAGAAGATCCTGTGGGCCACACATCAACAGTCGGCGGGTCGCATGTGGCCCGTGGGACACAGGTTGTGCACCCCTACCCGAATTTGTACCACAAGCACAACTAAAGAATTACTTAAGTAGCATAAAATGTTACAGCAGAAAACAGGCAATGTAGCAGATGAGGGCCAAGTTCCATTTTACATACAGTTAAACACAACAATAACATGCTTGCTGTCTCTATTCCTGGCTGTACAGCTTGTGAAATACTATAAGAAAAATACAATACAGAAGGTTTTCATTGCAGGTTTATATCCAAAATAGTGGAAGTACTTACATAAAAATAAGAAACCATTTCCACACGAGTTTGTTAGCATATCTCGCAACTATATCACATCTACAGCTGATTCAATGGCATTATTAATTCTTTTACACCACTTTGCAGTCCATTATTCTTGTGGCAAATTTAGTTTTTATGATGTCACGTCAACACAAAACCAGAATACAGCAGAAGCTTCAGTTGTTTTCATGGCTCAGTACAAGTCACGCTGCCTTTCAGCATTCACCTATTCATAACTATTGGAATTCAGCATTCATACCTATTGGAATTCTCAGCCTCAGAATCTTAGTGCAGTAATGGCTAAATATTCCAAGGCTTCTTCTTTCATTAATCACACCTGCCAGATGTGGAACAGATTACTCACAGAGATCCTTTCCGAAAGAATAACCAATGAGGCGAACCAGGTTCAATCCCGACGATGGCTGGTCGATACGAATTCCGCATCTGGCTTGTACCGACCGCAGTGCTGACGTGAAATATCCTCAGAGGTAGACGGATCATAGATTAGAGTTCCCTTGCCATCAGGCTAACCGTGGGAGGTTCTCGCGGTCTTCCTCTCCATGTCACGCAAACGTGGGTTAGTTCCACCAGAAAGTCCTCCATGAAGGTAAATTTCTCCCAATACTTGATCCAGTAGTTTCCTTGTTTTCTGGATTGGGCTCAAAATTACAAGACTACGGAGTTGAACATTAGTAGTCGTAAACCCAAAAAATGGGTTTGATGCTCAACGACGGTTATATATATAAAAAAAGAAAGAATAACAACACGTGTCAAGTCTGCCAGGCAAACAGGTTGTGCATGTATTCCTACAGCAGCAAAGGCAAGGAGAGAAAGAGAGAGAGTTCCAAACACCCAGCAGTATTAATCCTACTATCTATTTTACATAAAACCGACGCCAATAACAAATATATAAGAGTAACTATAAAAAACTACTTAAAAGTAAAAATATGTGCTCATTTCTCACTTATGACAAGTAATGCAACAGCTCCTCCTGATGAATCACACCACCCCGCTAAAAGAGGTATAAACAAAACCACTTCGAAAGAAAACAAACTCTAAATTTTGATAATTAAAGTCAGTCAGTTGACGAGTTTGTGTTCACCAATCGACAAAATGTTACAGGAGTAAAAACAGTGACCAATGCATTCATAAATCTTAAAATGAAGTTTAATGGCTAAGAAAGATTATACAATACCTGAAAATACAGCATCCAATATGGAATAAGTGAAAGAAAGACAGTGATGATCACAGAAAGAGATTTGACATCTTCAACAACCGAATCATGAAACTTGCCACCATACCTTACTTTGGCCATGTCTAACCAAGTTGGTCTGTTTATGGATTCAACACTATGAAGAGAAATAAAAATAAAGAAATTCAATTTGTTATTATGCAACATTTAAAAATATGTGTACATTTTTTAATAATGGGTGACTCAATCATTTATGAATGTCATATTTACGGATTTTAAACACTTATAACTCAGTTAAAAAAAATTTCGCCAATTCAAATATTTTTGCGAATTACACTCACTCCAATTTTTAGAAACTTTCAGATAAAGTAAAACCTCGGTACAACAATATTTTGGGGACCAAATAAATATATCGTTATAGAGGGATATATTGAGGGCCTACATACTTTGGTGACACAATAAATTTTTATTTTAAAGTTATTTATGTATTAACTATAAATGCATTTATCTATAATATAAAAAATTAATTTGCAGAGTGTTAACTATGGTTAAATATTAAAAACAATTGAAATAAATTCAGAAAATAAGATCATAAACATACCTGAAAACCGTTTTTATTGAAAATAATCCGATGTACTTTAGTTTGTTTATAAATTTTTTTTTACTGTTAAGTCAACAACCAAAGCATGCATTGAATCAAAAGCACGAAAATGATTTTCGCTAGTGAATGGTGCTCCCCCCACTCTCTATGGAAAAAATTCTATTTTAGGTGTTAATGTGATGCGAGTGGTCATTTGTGACTTATGACCAGCTTTTAACATGAAGGAAATGAAATCAGATAGGAATGTTACATCTGAGATTTCTTTAAGAGATAAGTGAGGCAATTCTAAGAAAGGAAACTCTTGGGGTGGTCAGCTGTGAGTCTTCTCTTGTCAGAAAATACGGCAAAAGATGATAAAATAAGATTTTTTACATTATTTGAAAACCAATTATGAATGGAGAAAATAAGGTTGAAATTTGAAAAAAAAAAAAAAATCGTTTATTCCTTCAGATGATATCGAAATATTGAGAAGAGGATAACATTAATTCGTATGCAAGTTCGTCGGGACCATGAAACATTATCATAATAGAGAGAGTTATTGTTGTATCGGATATCGTAGTAGTGGATATCGTAGTAGTGGGAGTTCACTGTGTTAAAAACTAGCTGTTATGGTCATTGACATTTAACATAACACATTGTGTCACGTCTCTAACATCTAATTTTGAACTCCTTAAACTAATGCAAGGAGGCAAGTCCTCAAAAGTCTAAATGACATCAAAACTTATTTTTACAAAAAACTGTAGAGCTGCTTAATTTTTTTTTGACTGAGTTATAAGCTTTTAAGAGTAAGGAGTGAGGAGTTTTACTTACTTAGGATCAATTATTATCACTGACAACAGAATTACTCCTGAAATAAAAAACCAACTCTATCTGGCAAATAGGATTGTCTATGGGCTGAGAAGATTTATTAAATCTAGGTTTCTTTCTAGAAAAACAAAGTTCTTAACCTACAAAACTTTTGTCTGGCCAGTCTTGACATACACTTCTGAAGCTTGAACAATGACAAAACCGGAGGAAGATTGTATCACAATATTTGAGAGAAAGATTTTGCGGGGTATATTTGGTGGTGTTAATGAAAACAATAATTGGAGAAGGAGATTTAACTTTGAACTGAACAAGATTTATAAACAACCTGATATTATTAAATACATAAAAATAAATAGAATGAATCGGATCGCCCATGTTATTTGAATGAGTGACGATAACACAATAAAAAAGATACTGCTTTTTAGATCCACTGGGAAAAGAAAGCGGGGAAGGCCGCGGTTAAGATGGGCTGACTCAGTGGAGTCTGATTTTTTCGCAATTAATGAAAAGAATTGGAGATCAAAGATAAATCGGAAGTCATCATGGAGAAATCTCTAGAGGAAGGCATTGGCTTACATTGGGCTGTCTGGCCAACTATGATGATGATGATATGCTTTTAAGAGCCATGATGGCTCAGTGGTTAAGGCACTGAACTGTCATTGTGAATAATTGACACTCGATCCCCAGTGGAGGCACAGATTAATGGGTACCAGTTAGCATGTTGGTTCGAACCACTGCTTTAAATTATCAATGAATAAGACTAGGAAAATATCATTGAATAAGACTAGGACTAAAATGTGAAATTTTTACAGCAAATTATTTTTAATAGATGTCAGAATTATTTAACTCCAATCTCACTAAGTGATTAATGTTACTCACAATTTGAAGACTGGTTATTTTCCACGTATGATATACCAGGTTTTCCCTGCTCTCCCTGACCAGTGGGAACCCTGAAATTTCTCAAATTAAAATAGACTAATAGTTTATTTCAAACAGTGTTTTTAGAAGGGCGGCCTGCTCCACCAACCCTTTGATCCCTACATATTTACCCTCCTTGCCCTTTTTGTAAAAATAAGCCGCCATCCCTTAAAAACACTGTTTTTAAATTTTATTTTTAGGAAAAGGTTGCTTTTTTAAACCTCTTTTTTCAATGAGATGTCCACTTCTGATTTGTTTAGTTTTTAATAATTATTCAAGGTGAGTAGCCAGTTTTACAATAAAAAAAAAATAAGCACCTTTTAAGTACTTTTCAAGCACTCAAAAAATATTTTTAATCACCTTCCAAAAAAAAAAAATTATAATTTGGATCTGTGCAGTAATAAAAATTATTTTTTCTATCATTTAAAGTACTTAATTTATAAACATAAAATCAATAAAATTCAATAACATTTTCAAAAACTTGATATTATCATGATGATATAACTAGTTTCTGATAAATATTACACAGAAAATTGTGAAAATAATGCAACTTTGGTAATTTAGAACAACAATCGATACGGCAAAGAAAAAATCTCTTTTTAAAAGATAGAAAATTACACCCTTTTTACAAAAACCGAATAAAAAAAAAGCACATCACACACATGTACTTTTAAAAAACATTACACATGATATAAATATTACACAGAAAATTGTGAAAATAATGCAACTTTGGTAATTTAGAACAACAATCGATACGGCAAAGAAAAAATCTCTTTTTGAAAGATAGAAAATTACACCCTTTCTACAAAAACCGAATAAAAAAAAAAAGCACATCACACACACGTACTTTAAAAAAACGTAAATAAAAAATAAGCAGCTTTAAGCACTTTTTAAAAATGCTACGCATCCTGTTATTTAACTCACCTAACAGAAATTTCATTCCTTCATTTTAGTAAGATTTTTCTAGCTATATAGGTAAAATTTGCATGACATTCTGCCCCAGAGATATTCATATTTCTCATTTGGTGGGGATATATTAAGGAATTTTTCACTGATTTTATTTAAATTTTATAATTATTTTTTTAAACAAATACCTTTTACTTAAAAATGCGCCTTTATAGGTTTACTTTCTTATAATTTTCAGTTTATAAAATAAAAAAGCTTTAAAGTTGTCAATCGAGTAATACTTTTTTTTTATAAAGAAAATTTAATTTATATTTCAAAATTTTTTTGTTATTTTGATAATGAGTGAGAATTGGGAATGAAAATATCTCCTGATGGTCATCGAAGCCACAGAAGTTGTCCTCACTGCATCGACACCGAACTCTCTCCCGACCATGTCTTTGATTGCCCAGCCATACTGGCGAAGCTCGTCAGGATCCATCTGGATCCCCCGCAGCAACTCCTTTATTCCATAGAGATTATTGATGTGGGCAAAGCTGTTTTAGATACTTTTGGACAAATTTAATTCTCCTTGCACTACTGGACAAGACAACAACAACATACTATTTTATAGTAATATACAGTGAGACCTGTTTTTGTGCGGTCCTTTTTTATGCGGTTCTGTTTTTGTGCGATTGGTTTTATGTGATTTTATTTTTGTGCGAATTATTTTTATGCGGTATATGAATCTTAACGGCGTTAGCACCAGTTTAATGTTTCCTATCAATGTGCATATGCATGTTGTGGACGAACTCTGATTATGTGGTCTCCTTGACAACAATGTATCTGAACTTCGCGGTGCTCTGGTTATTTACTTTCATTAGTTCATTTAGTATCGTCAACTCCATTTTCTCTTCTGTTTAAAATCTATTCTGCGCTAAACAAGTTGAAGTAAATCAGTAAAAAATCGTCTGCTGTGTTAAAATACTTAGTATTTTAAAATTAAAGCGTTATTTTTATTTTGTAAATTCTCGTCTAAGCGTATCTCAAATACTATACGCTTCGTATTCAGAGTTTTATACACGATTCATTAGATTAAGGATTCATTTTATAGTGAGATTAAAGGTAAAAAAATTAATTACTTTTGTTTCTATTTATATGTAGTTTTTATGATTTTTATTTTATTTTATCTGATCACTGACTTTATGGTACCAAAAAACAAATCAATTGAAATCCTATCTTCAAGCGATTTTCAACCAATTCATTCCAAGAAGATGCGCATTTTGGATTACTACGAGTAGCAGCAAACTATTTAATGTATAATTTGAAAACTTCTACATGTATATGTACAATGAAGAATTAAATATTTTTAAAATTTCTTTAGGTCTAATTTAATTATTTAATTTTATTGAAAGCATTCTCTTATCTATTTCATAAATCATTGATGTATTTTCTGAGTCCGACTTTTTTTATGCGATCCCTATCAACCGCATAAAAAAAGTTTTTTGTGGTATATGGTACAAACTTGTTTATTACATGTCAGAATTTATAAAATTTTTGAATTTTTTTTGGTGTGATTTCTTTTATGTGGTCCCTATCCACCGCACAAAAAAAGGTTTTACTGTACACATAAAATAGGGGAAATTTAAAAATTAAGGATCAAATCCAGTTATTACATAATATTACACATTTTGATACATTTTAGTGGCAGTAAATGAGCCCCTTTCAAAATTCAAAGTGCCCTTTTCAGTGGGAAGCACCCTGCCTTATTTTTATTCCAATTTAAATCAATCTAAAAATTGAAAATATTAAAAAGAAAAAAGTTATTTAGTTAAAAAGTATTAGTTATAAACAGAAAAATAGCACACCTGGTTTGTGATTCCATTGTAACATTTCTTTTGCGTATTCGATTAAGTTTCCAAGCACCTTTCAAAACAGAAAAAGTTCTCGAAATAGAACTTCCACAAGAAGATTGGTGAGTATAGATGGGATAAGTAACTAGAAACATTATAGTGGCAACTGTGAGTAAGCAGACAGGTATGAGATATCCACTTTTGAATCCATCTACCTGTTGAACATAAGTAATGCCTAGAATAGCTATAAGAGCTCCAATGTTTACACACCAGTAAAGCCAATTGAGATAGAGTCTAAGGCCATCTTGTCCGCTATATTTTACCTAACAGAAACAAAATGTGATGAGTATATTCTTCTTTAAGTTAAAATTGCTTCAAAGTAGGAACTGATATGATAAAAAAATAACCATATTTTAGTAGTTTTTTTTTTTTTTTTAAATCTTTATGTTCTTTTGCTTTTCGAGGCATGTAATATTTCTATGTGACATTTATTTTTTAATTATTCAATGCAGAGGGTTGGCAAGATTTTGCCGCAGGTGGAAAAAACCATGGTAAAAAGCGTCCTGGCAAAAACAGGTTTTTGCCAAGCAAAGTAGCAAAAACCTATATTGTCCTCTCATCAAAATTTTTTAACACAAAATTAATCCTAAAATTGAAATATATACTATAAATACATATAATTAAAAAAAATTAACAAAATTATTATTCCATAATTAAATCATAATGTATTACTATATCATTTAAGTAGTTTAAAACATTACTGATCAGAAAATTAGTGATTATTCTCTTTTTTCCAGTGAAATGAACTTATTTTAAATTAATATAACTATAATTTAAAGAATAAAATATCTATCAACATATATAGTTAATTAAAATATACAAGTATCAATGCAATTTTTTAAATTTGTGCAAATTCAATTCTTTATTCATCATCACAATACAATTTGTGCTGTCTCAACCGTGTGGTTCTGTTAGCATTTTGAAGTAATATTGAGAAATGAGGGGATTATCAAAATCTGGCTAATAAAACGTCCATCTTAGCTTTCTTATGTCTCTCTTTAAATATAGTGTAAAAGCGATATAATGTAAAATAATACAACCAAACGTTATTATGAAGAAGTAAAAAAAAAAAAAAATACAATTTGTAAAAAAAACATTTATTTAAGGATTCTAAAATGAAAAGAGGTCAAAAACTTTCCATCTCTTAAAAATTATTATCCTTATATTAATTATTAATATTTTAAAAATAATTTTCTCATGCAATGTATCAAAATTATTATTCCT